TATTTAGACTTGAGCCCCACTGGGCCAGCAGTCCCACAGCGCTGCGTGCTTGAGTCCTGGTTAGTGGAAAGTTTCTTTTGAGCAGGAGACAAAGTGAACAGAATGTCAGAAAGCTAAATATAAATCCTCCGAGAGCTAGTCATACATAAACTAGTTTTTAGCCAACAATATATTGTAGATTGAATTTTTCTTCTCTCTCTCTCTCTCTCTCTCTCCCCTCTCTCTCTTCTTTTCCTTCTTTCTGCTCTCTCTCTCTCTCTGTTTTTTGAGACAGGGTTTCTCTGTGTAGCTTTGGAGCCTGTCCTGGAACTTACTCTGTAGACGAGGTTGGCCTCAAACTCACAGAGATCCACCTGGACTAAAGGCATCACTACCACCCAGCTGAAATATTTTTAAAAGAAAATTTTTTATCTTGGTTTATAGTGATGAGTATAAATAACAGTTAATGTAATTTACATGAAATGATAAGATTATTGATTTTTCTCTTTTAGCTGGCCCTGTAGGTAGATCATAGCTATTGTTAAAGATAGAAACCCTTTTATCTTTTGTTATTGTAGCATTTTATTTTTGAGTCAGTAGATCTGGTCTACTGTTTACATGACTGTAACTTCAAAAAAGAAAAAGAAAAAAAGAGAAAATGAAAAAAAGATGCATAGTTTGCTTCAAGATTTTGAGCAGTGTTGCTGTGGGCTGTTTAGTCATTTGTGGAACTTAGTTCTTCCCAGTGTGCTACAGCTCTTAGAACACTCAACCAGAGTAAGGCGACCTGCACTGAACTAAGTGTGTGGGCTGAAACTCACACCATTTCACAATCCAGCACCTCCTTTGGTTTAAGTCTGTTTTTGTTGTATTTTACCTTATTGGTTGGTTTTGCTTGAGCCTCTAGAAACATTTTATAGCCAGTAACTCTCTGGGTAGTAAGCGGAAGCATAGGCCTCACCATGCTGGGCAGCAGGCTGTGTCTGAGTGTAACTGACCGTGCGTGCGTGCGTGCGTGCGTGCGTGTGTGTGTGTGTGTGTGCGTGTGTGTGTGTGTGTGTGTGTGTGTGTGTGTGTGTGTGTAGCTGCATAAGAGAGAAAACATGCTATATGTCTTTCTGAGTCTTGCTTAGGGAAGTAGAACTTTAAACAAGTGAAGAAGGATCAGTGTGTGACTTGTCCCCCATCCTATCCCCAGACCCTGTCAGACTCCCTAGGTTTTTCAACACTGAAGGAGGCAACTGTAGTTGTTGTCCACAGCTGCTACAATTGTTCCTAAAGGAAAGGGAAGAGGAAACGAAGAGCACGGTAGCCCTGAGGTCCTCTGGCAACGAGGAAAGGCATTGTAAATGTCAGAGCGCCCACCCGTATTTCCTCCCTCCCCTTATCATCAGCATCTTGCTGGCTCCCTGCACTCCTGGTTAACTTAGTTCAGTGTCTTCAACAGGAGGAAGAGGTGTTGGGTTGAAGATGACAGCGCCAACTGGACATCACACCAAGGCCTTTTTTAGTCCACTTCCCTTGCAAATTCATCTAAAAAAAGGTTTCAATAAAACAATAGGCCATCCATTTAGACTTCAAGGACTGATTCATGTTTTCCTTTTGGTATAAAATCTCTGTTACATGTGTCTGTTGCTGTCTCTTATTTGTGAGTAGACTTTAGCATTGTGTTTCCTGTAAGAAAATTTATGAAATAAATCAGGAAGTAGGAGTGACAAGTCCAAACTGGGAAGAACACACAGTAATCTTTAAACTCAAGGGATACCAGGAGGTGGAGTCAGTATTGAGACTGTGTTGTTAGATAGTCCCAGTGATGTACAGATGTACAGCAGCACTCTGCACGACCTTCCTCTGCTCCATCATCTGCCAAAGTACTGGGGGAAGGGAGGGGAGGGACTACAGCATCCACTTGTTCTTCTCTTTACAGAAAGCAACAGTATGCAGGCAAGATGGTACTTTCCTTTAGCAGAATAGTCAACTGACCTACAAGAAAAAGTGAACTGTCCTAGTTGGTGCCTGTCAAAAGCATGCTGTTTCTAAGTTTAGATTTTATTTCTGGTCTGCTTCTCTGCACTCCACACTCCGTAGCTGGTGGGTTTTCTTTTTTCTTCTTCCTTCCTTTCTGTTTTCTTTTTCTTTTTTTCTTTGTTTTGTTTTTCAAGACAGGGTTTCTATGTGTAACAGCTCTGGCTGTTCTGGAACTTTCTCTGTAAATCAGGCTGGCCTCAAACTCACAGATATCCGATTAAAGGTGTGCCACCACTGCCTGGCAGAGAGGATAGGAACACCGGGAATTGACCTGAGGTCCTCTGACCCTCTCAGCTGCATTTGCTCTGCTCAGACTTAAGGATCTCAACTTTTCTCCGCTTTGCTCTCATTCTGTTACCAATAACCTGTGTCTGGTGCATCCTACGATGTCCTTGCCTTTGGACCATGTTAGCTTTAGGAAATAAGTAGATTATAGATGGGGGTTTCCAGACGTTTACCATCTCTTCCTCAATCTTCTTTTTGAGACAAGGTCTCACTCTGTAGCCATAATTGGCCCTGAATTTACCAGTTATCATAGTCTGGCCTCAAATTCTTGATCCTCCAACCTTACCCTTCCAATTGCTGAATCACAGGCCTGCACTTCCAATCCTGGTGTTTGAATTCTTTCTTTTTATTTTATTATTTTTAAAATAATTTTCATTTTTGAAAACGTTATGCATTTATACAGTATATTTTGATTATAGCCATACATAACAACTGCTTTCCAACACCACCCTCTTTTACCTCCTACGCTATTTCTCTTCCAGCTTCATATTCTCTTTGTGTTGTTGTTGTTGTTGTTATTAATAAACCAGAGTCAAAATAGTGCTATCCGTATCCACATGAGTGTGTAGCCTTCCCTTGGGGCATGAGCAGCTGCATCCCCAAAGAAAGTCTGACTCTTTTCTCTCAGAAACTATCAACTGCCTGTACTTCCTTTAATAAGAATGGGGCATTGGGCCCTCCCCAATCCACACTGGAATTTTGACTGGCTTGATCTTGTGCCAGTAAACACTGTTGCCGTGAGTCTGAATGCAAAGCTTGTCATATCCAAAAGTGAATACTTCATTCTCTCTTCTCCATCCACTGGCTTGGACATTATTCCCACCCCGTTCTGTGAAGTTCCCTGAGCTTTGGATGGTGTGACATTGATAGAGATGGTGCATGCACAGCTGAGCACTCATAATTATTTATACTTGGCACTTGAACCAATTATGAGTCCATGCACTAACCACTGTTCATTGCAAAAAGAGGCTTCTCTGCCCAAGGTTGAGAGCAGCAGAAATCTGTGGGCATAAACAAATCTGTAGAGAGTAGTTTGACAAAATAGGCATTTAGCAAAAGTACAACTGTAGGATTCCCAAGTCATAAGCCTTTGACTAGGTTTACAGTAGTAGGCACAAACACCACCGCTGGAGTAGGTTACCCCCATAACAGTCATGCCATTGTTATACCAGCGGTCATATCTTGCAGGAGGCCAGTATTGTAGCTTGCAGTGTCCAGCACTTAGTAAAACTGTTGATGTCTTTTTTCCTTAGCAGACTGCATAGCACCTTCTGGCACAGTGTAAGCTGGCTTCCTGTGAATTTGAGTTGATTTCTCCAAGTCCTTCATCCAAAGCCAGTGGTAACCAAAGCGTCTTTAGCAAGAGGGTCTTACATCTAGTTAGTGGACAACTAAGAGCAGTGGCAGTGGCCTGTGTTGATTTGAGTGCCTCTGAGACCTCTATGACCATTAACTCAGGGAGGCCTATATCAGATTATAGTGGCAAGTCTGTGGGGTCATTTTTTTGATTAATGATTGATGTATGTAAAGGAACAGAGTCAAACATGGGGTATGGTTATTAATGGTATATTTTTTTAAGAAGAAACACTCATAGGGGAAGCTGATAACCAGATTGGCACTGTAGTCTCAGCTGCACTTGGAGATCCTATTGGAACCCAGAAAGAGACCGAAGGCCTCCTTTCCAGCTTTTATTCCACCTTCTGCGTACCTGTGACCACACCCAAATGGGAGTAGTCAGCGCAGCAGGTCCATGGGATTTCTCCCTACAGATGTGGGAGGACCCAGCTCATTGTGGGTGCTGCTACCTCTGTACAGGTGATCCTGAGGCATATAAGAAAACAGGCTGAGCAAGCCATGAGGAACGAGCCAGTGAGCAGCACTCCTCCATGGCTTCTGCTTCAGTTCTTGTCTTGACCTCCCTCAGCCATGGAGTGTGAAATGAATTGCAAGATGAAATAAACCTTTTCTCCCCAAGTTGCTTTGGTCATAGGGTTTTATTACAGCAACAGAAACTCAACCCAAGACCCTATGTGCCGTTTAAAGATGAAATATAGGCTATAGAGAGAATTTGGCCAATCAAGTGCTTGCCTTGAAAGCACTAAGGACCTGGGTTAGCTCTCTAGAGTCATAAAAAAGTGGTCATTTATACTTTCAAAGCTCTTGCCTTATAGTCTTTTAGATTATCAGAAACAGGTTTATTGTAGGCACATGTATCTGTTGGCCTTTTTGAAAAGTGACACCATCAGCACTGTAGCTACCCCAGTGCCTAGACAGCAGTCCTGAAGTTCACCCACTGTTGTCTGTTCTGGTGTTTACTGATAAACCTCCTCATCTTCTTACAGTCCGCCTCTCTCTGATTCTTTTGTGACTCTAAGCTCTCTACCTCATTTTCTTTAACTCATATTCATTAGAAAAAGGACCTGATTTAGTTGTGTAGGCTCTTATGAGTCACCTCAGAGGATCCTTTGGTCATTTTTGGGAGGCCACTGTCCCTTAAGGCCAATTTTCATATGTCATCTGCATCATAGAGACCATACCAAAAGAACTGTTAGTGGTGACTTCCATTAGAAGGAACCTGGGTGGGCTTGGAAGATAGTCCGTGTATCACATGTTACTCCCCATTAGCGAGCCACTGGGAACTTTGAGGTTGAAGGAGAAGTAGTGTTGAACATGCAGTATTTTCTTCTGGCCCTCAGAAAGGGTAGCTCATGGTTATCCCAGTGCAGATTATCTTCAGGTATCTTGGTTCTGCAACCTTCCACAGAAGTAACAGCAGCTTCTGCTTCCCATCACCTTTTTAAAAACTCTTTTAGACTTTTGCTAAAATGTGAGTGAATTCTTAGTAAATAAGGAAGTAAACACACATCAGGAACATTGTATACCACAAAGGAAACAGTGGATGGTCATGGCCAGCATCCTACTAATGTAGGAGTCAGAAAGCAAATGGTGTTCTAGAGGAGTTCCAACTTTTCTGCAAGTATTAGGCCCAAGCCTTGTAATTCTGCAGTCTATACTCTTACCAGATCACAGCTCTGTCTTTAGTCACATAGAAAGCCGGTATCCGGAATCACCAGTAAATGTTTCTGTCAAAGCTCTCTCGGGCTATCTTGATTTCATCAATTCTACTCATTTAGCTGCATGGAAATCACTAAATACGCTAACTTCTATTTTCCCCTGAGTCTGGTGTGAACATCTCCAGATGCCCTGAGCTAGATGAAAATACAGCATGGCAGACTCTTAGGTGGCTGACTGCCATGCCAGAGAGGGTTGCGGCCCTCCTGAAGGGGTGGCTTCAGGTCATGGGTTCTTAACGGTGCGGTGCCATCAAGATTGCCTTTACAGGACTTCATGCTTGGAGAAAAAGGAAAGGCGGGGAGGAATGGAGGAATGGTAGAGGCCCACAGTCTGTATGAGAGACAGCAGAGCGTCAGTGAAGAAGGCTTGGAAAGGCACTCTGAGGGCTTTGACTAGGACTGAGGAGGAGTGTGGGCTTCAAGGGTCTGCTCTTTCTCTTGGTTCCTTCCAGAGGGCATACTGAAAAGAAAGCGGCGACTGCTGTTTGCCCCTGAGAGACGGTTTAGGATGTATTTCCCCATCCCCTGTGTTTTCTGACTGACTTTCACATCCACATCCACATGGAAGGAAGAACTGTGGCCACCACCCAGTGTTTCTTGCTGTTATGGAGCTGTGCAGTATCTGATTTCACTTTTGTTTTTCCCTCCAGGCTGCTTGATAGAGGCAGTGAATCTCAAATCCAGCAACCGAAACCCAGTGGTACATGAATTTGAAAGTAAGTACAAGGAAACATGGAGAGGAATGGGCCCCCTAGTGGACATTGGGTAGCTCCGCAGCTAACCCAACACCTGTTTCCCTGTTGTGATTATTTAATTAAATTAATTAGTTTATTTATACATTTGTTTGTTTGAGATAGGATCTCACTGTGTAGCCCTGGATGACCTAGAATTTACTACAGAGGCCAGCCTGGTCTGGAACGCACAGAGTTCTGCCTGCCTCTGCCTTCCAAGTGCTAGGATTAAAAATGTTCACTACCATACCCAATCTGTTATCATTTAAAAAAATATTTATTTTATTTGTGACTGTGTGTGTGTCTGTGTACATGTTTTGGGGGGGGATGCTGAAGAGGCCAGAAGGGGGCCTTGGATCTCTGGGAGCTGGAGTTACAGGCAGCTGTGTGCTGGAACTTGAACTGCTCTTTGTAAGATCAGTAAGTGCTTTTAACCACTGAGCCCACAGCTCCAGCCCTTAGTCCCCTGTATGTAATGGTCAAGAATGTTCATGATGACTATTGTGCATGGGTAGACTAGTAATATACTCTGCAAATTACATTGGCTGCCATCTGCTTCCTGCCTATCACCGTGCCTACACAACAAAGAAATCTCATATAATAGATTCAGTGTCTTTAAAGGAAACTGTACTCCCTATAGTAAAATCCTTGGTAATGTTTTTATTGTTTTTCTGGCAAAGAAAAAAATCATCTTGAAATCCAGGAAAGATTAAGCTTACACTTTTTCTCCCATTGCTTATTAGGTGTGGAATTGTCTTGTATCATTACGGACTCACAGACAAATGATCCTAGGATTGAATGGAAGAAAATCCAAGATGGCCAAACCACCTATGTGTATTTTGACAACAAGATTCAAGGTATGACCCATCATCCTCTGTGCTACTCACTTCTCTTTTGTCCACAAAGCTTGGAATTTATTTATAGCAGAGATTTTCCCCAGACTGCTAGCCTGCACCTGTAGTTAGGAATATTCTGATTTTCTGAGTTTATTCTTAGAGAAAATTTCAATTTTAGCGTTGATAACAGCTCATTAGTATTGATACCAGTTCATTGGTAAGGACTTGGATCTCTGCACAGCCTGCCTGCCTGAGAAATCACAGCAAACAATTTCCTTAGCCTTGTTGTTATGGTCTATGACAGACATAGTGTGAGCAAGTGACAAAGGGATTATCACAGCAGCATGGGGCCACAAGTTCTCATTGAGCTGCACTGTCGAGTGTGAAGTGCTGGGGTCTCCCTACATTGGATGGCAGGACATTATCTGGGGGCAGTACTAACATAAGCTGCCATTGGATGGCAAGGAGGAGGAGAACAAGGGCCAGGCATCTGGACAGTAGGCTGCAGAGTGCTCAGGCGACCAGACCAGATAGCAAGTGTGGATTGGTAAGAGATGTGGTGGCAGGAAAGAATGCTTCATGCGGACACACAGAAATGCTGCATGAGGAAGAGCTTAGCTAATGAGAAGAGCTGCAGCCAGAGAGGGAGATGAGGAAGACATGGGGTGTACTAGCTGTCCGACAAGCCAGGACAGTAGTTAACACCCATCAAAGGTGCTAGGAGAAGTGACATGTCATACCATTTGAAGACTCAGGTGAAAAGAGACCTGAGATGAGCTCATTCAGAGCAGGACCATATCATACCAGCTTTCCTTTGCAGTCTGGTGGGTGGGGTTGCTCTCAGTGGCTGAGCTGAGGTACAGACACTGGAAAAGGAAGGGTAGAATTGTTAGGACATAGCACTGCTGAAGGAGGTAGTGGTGGAACATCGAGAAAGTGTTACAGCTCTGAGAGGAAAGGTATCCTGGCAGTTGGGAGCCAAGGAATACCACAAAGTCACACAACAAATACCACACAACAAACTTCACACAATAGATTTATTGGGAAAAATATCTGGGGTGGGGGAGGGTAGCTGCCTCTGCTCAGGAGAGAAGTAGCTGAAAACTGGGCAGGAGGCCCCTTGGAGCTTTCCAGGGTGGTGTAAGCGCCTGATCTTGGGGCAAGCTCAGGGATTGGTGGGATTCTTCGGTCTGACCTTGGGCTTTTTCCTATAGGGCGGGACCTGGCCACTCTTCTTCCTGAAGGGGCTGAAAGTGGCCTGTTAAGGCAGTTAGAGAAGTCTGGGGAGCTTGTACCTCTGAGTACAAGCAACACAGTAGGATGTTGCTTTCCTTCTCACATTGAGGGAAGAAATAAATAGGAGGTTCAGTGTGGATATGTTCAGGTTTAGGGAAGTCACAGTCTTTGTTATTTGAGTTCTACATGTTATCAGGAGTTGTATGCTCTTAAAAATAGTGTGTTGGTTACAACTGTAGCTTAGTGGTATAGTGCCTGCCTAGCATTCATGAACCCTGAATTCAATCTCTAGGACTGAGGCGGGGGTTGGGGGAGGAAACGCCAAAACCCAACAATATCTAAGGGCTGTATGTGAAGCTCAATATTAGCACCCCTTGGAGGTTTACAACTCCAGGGGATCAGGTGCCTTCTTCTGGCCTCCACAGGTTATGTATGCATGCATGTGGTGTATAGACAAAACACCCCTACATAAAATATAAATAAGTAAATCTAAAACAAAGCTGTACTTATTAAAACCATAAAAGCCCAAAGTATTTTTGGGTCCCGGAGAGACGATTGAGTTGTTGAGAGTGTGTCCTGTTGCAGAGGACCTGAACTCAGTTCCTAGCACCCACTCAAGGCAGCCTGTAGCTCCAGCTCCTGGCTCTCTGATATCCTCTTCTGCACTCTGCAGACACTGCACTCATACCTGCACATGCCACACACATATACGTACAAACCAACTCATAAATCTTTAAGAAAGAAAACTTTTATTTCACCAAAGTGGAGGGGATAGGGGTGAGCAAAGTGATGGACCTACTATGCACAAGGCTCTAAATTATAATTTGCATCACAAACAATAACAACTTTCTTTTTATGGACTCTTAGCTATAGGAATGGCTACCATACAGAGCATCTACCACAAAGAACCAGGTTGGAGGCAGAACTCTTACTGTGCCTTGGGGTAGGACTGTGCCCAAAGCACCTGTTAGATCTGTCCCCCTGGAGTTGTTATATTCACATAGGTATGGAACCACCACTCTGTCCAATCCCAGAATCTTAAGAAAACCATCTCCATGAACAGGCAGGACCCTTCCCTCACCTCTTAGCAACCCTCTATCTATTCTTTCTCTCTGCATTTTTTTTTTAATTGAGACTTCATATAAAGGGAGTATTAGTCTTTTGTTCTTGGCTTCTTTCAGTTAGCATAGTACTTTCAGGACTCATCATGTATAACATGAATGAGAACTTTGTTCCCTTTTGTGGCTGAGTCAGTGCTCATTGTGTGGTTACTACATTATTTTGTCCAATCATCAGCTGATGTGTACAGTTGGGCTGCTTTCACATGTTGGGTATCAGTATTTTGTACTCATGTCTGTGTAAAGACCAAGCACACAGCTACTGGATCATACAATAGCTGCATGGTGAGTTTTTTGAAGAAACTGCCAGGCTGTTTTCCAAAGTGGTGTCATTTTTTTTTTTTTGGTGGGGGGAGCATTGAGACAGGGTTTCTCTGTGGCTTTGGAGCCTGTCCTGGAACTAGCTCTTGTAGCCCTGGCTGGTTTTGAACTCACAGAGATCCACCTGCCTCTGCCTCCCGAGTGCTGGGATTAAAGGCGTGCGCCACCAACGGCCGGCCCGGTGTCACTTTTTAAAAGATTTTATTTTACGTGTCTGAGTATTTTGTCTGCATGTGTGTCTGTACATTAGATATGTACGCTGGGTACAGAGGTCAGAATAGGCATTGGATCCCCTGGGACTAGAGTTGTGGATGGTTGTGAGCCACCATGTGGTTGCTGGGAACCAAACCTGGATCTTCTGCAAAAGTAATGTAAATTGTCTTAATCATGGAACCATCTACCCAATCCTGGCATCATCATTTTACATTCTCATTAGCAATGCTGACCCCCCCATCATACCCCTGTGGTCTTACCAAACTCGTGATCATTTGACCTTCGAATAATTTTAGACGCTATATAAAGGTATCTCAGTGAAGTTTTATCTTCATGTGCATATCGGACAGCTGTAGATTTTCTTGGGAGAAATATCTAATTAACTGTTGTGCTAATTTAAAAACTTGTATATTGGTTATTGCATTATAAATTTATATATTCCAGAGACTAGTCTGATATGACATGGAGAGTTTCTGCCATCCTTTAGGTTGTCTGTTCACCTGCTTATGTCCTTTAAAGCACAAAGGTTTTGAACTTGATGAAATCTAATATAGCCCCAATTTTTTGTGCTTATGTCTTTGTTCTCATATCTAAGAAGCTGTTACCTAACTTAAGGTCATGAAGATTATGCCTTCTGGAGAAATGGCTTAGTTGTTGAGAGTTCCAATTGCTTTTGCAGAGGACCTAGGTTTCATTCCCAGCATCCACATAGTGGCTGGCAACCATTTGTAACTCAGGTTCAAGGGGATTTGATGCCCTTCCTCTATTTTTGCAAACACTAGGCATGAAGCTGGTGTACAGACATACATGCAGGCAAAACACTCATATACATAAGTAAATAAATAAAAATTATGATTTTTTTCTCTTAAGACTTTTATAGTTTTACTTTTGGGGACAGCACTTTGCTAATGTTACCCAGGCTGGCCTGGAGCTTACTGTGTTGCCCAGGCTAACCTCAGACTCAAGTTCCTATTAGTTTATAGAGTTGCAAATAAATGTGCCACTAAGCCCTACTTTAATTCAATCTTCCCCCCCACGACAGGGTTTCTTTGTGTAGCCCTGGCTGTCCTGGAACTCGTTCTACCGACCAGGCTGGCCTTGAACATACAGAGATCCACCTGCCTCTGCCTCCAGAATGCCCCACCACTTGGTATCTCATTGAACTCTTATGTAGGTGTTTGTTGAATAGGGAGGGCAGCCAGTGTTCAGCTTTCTTCTTTTGTATGTGGATAGCTACATCTTTTGTGGATTTTGTTTTATAATGTTTATTGGTTTTCCTTTAAGTGGGGATTCTCTCCTAGAGATAATAAAGAGAAAATAAGGTTCCTGGTTTTATCTTAAATGCCAGTTATTATTTTTGATGATTAGGTTGCATACAGGAAGAAGTCAGTGGCTCAGTCCTTATGAAGATCACTTCTTTCACCTGGACATAAAGCAATCTGCAGTCTTCTTGCTCTGCCATCAAGTCCAGCCCCACACTGTTTTCCAGTGGCTGGTAACTGTGTCTTCTTTTTTATAGGGGACCTGGTAGGTCGTACAGATGTGTTTGGAAAAACTTCATTGAGGATCTGGAATGTGACACGGTCGGACTCAGCAATCTATCGCTGTGAGGTCGTTGCTCTAAATGACCGAAAAGAAATTGATGAGATTACCATTGAGTTAATTGTGCAGAGTGGGAACCCATTGGTATGAAGCATTTGCACTGGCCCGGCCTTACGAGTCCTTAGCTCTGGAATAAGAGACCAGCTCCTATTTTGATTTCATTCCTCCAGAGCTGCATTTCTGGGGCTATTTGCTGTTTTGAGAGGGAGCTAGTGAGGCTGTCAAGAGATGGGGTGGGAAGGGTGGCAGAGCACCTGTTCTGTTCCTTACCCACATAGGGACCCTTTGCATCATCTCCTTTTCACTTTACTTCTGAAGGTGGGAGAACTGGAAACTGGAATTGGACACGCAGGGTGGAGTGAGCTCCAAGAAAGGGCAGGGTGCCTGCAACAGGCAGCTGAAGATGAGCTGTGGTCTTTAGAACTGGTTTATCACACTGGGTTTTGTTACAAGGGGCTTGTGCTGAGATTTAAACACCAACCCATATTTTGCCTGCAGTGAAACCAGTGACCCCTGTCTGCAGAGTACCAAAGGCTGTGCCTGTAGGCAAGATGGCGACACTGCAGTGTCAGGAGAGTGAGGGCTATCCCCGGCCTCACTACAGCTGGTACCGCAACGATGTGCCACTGCCTACAGATTCCAGAGCCAACCCCAGATTTCACAATTCGTCTTTCCTTGTGAACTCGGAGACAGGCACTCTGGTAAGAGCTCTTCTCAGGTGAAGGAGGGCCAGTGAGGGTCCTTCTCAAGGCGGAGGCAGAAACCCAGAACATCAGAAACTCTATAGCAAAAGTGCTGGTGTTCTATAAGTAAGTGCTAAGAGTAGGACAAAAGGAACCCTGTTCTTCTAGGAGAGACCAAGGGGCAAGCAAACAAGTGGGTAAGGCATCGTCAGAACCCCAGTCTGAATAATCAACCGATACATAAATCATCATGTGAGGGAAACGTGATTACAGGGCAGATGTTTGATAGTAAGTAATTAACACAATTGTATTGTGATTATAGTTTTTACATCCTTATCATGTAGAGTAGTGGTTCTCAACCTGGGGGTCAAACAATCCTTTCACAAGGGTCACCTACGACCTTTGGAAAACACAGGCATTTACACTGCAATTCATAACAGTAGCAAAATTACAGTTCTGAAGTAGCAGTGAAAATAATTTTATGGTTGGGGGTCACCACAACATGAGCAATTGAATTAAAGGATCGAAGCATTAATAAGGTTGAGAACCACTGATTAGGAAGGTTAAGAACCACTTACGGATCACACATCTGGAATTTGCTTCAGAATAACCTACTAGGAGACAAAATAATAATAATAATAATAATAATAATAATAATAATAATAATAATAAAAAAGGGCTTGGTCATGCACCGAATGACATGTTGGCCTTGAGGCCCTTCTCAGCAGGGAGGTGTCTTGGTTTGTGAACTGTCCAAGTGCATGTAGTGATCAGGTGAATTGTAATGGGGTATTTGGTCTTGACTAAGAAGAGTTATTGGGATTGCTTTGACTTCAGACTGAAAGTGAAGTCAGCTTCTTTTAGTTATTGCACAGTTTTGCTCTCTCTGTGTCCCAAAGAGAGTTCCTTGTTGCAAGCTCTGAGGTGAGGATCACATGCCAGGGAGGCCACAGTGGATGAACTGACTACTTTTGTGGCCTCATTAGGCCTTTGTCAGCCTTGGTGTATCTGTCTCTCAGTTTGTCCTGTTGAGTGAAGTAATACTTGTCATTTCTGGAACAGGTTTTCAGTGCTGTCCACAAGGACGACTCTGGGCAGTACTACTGCATTGCTTCCAACGATGCAGGCGCATCCAGGTGTGAGGGGCAGGACATGGAAGTCTGTAAGTCACTTGAAAAGATTTTACATTGAAGTCTGGGGAATGAACATTTAAAGATGAATGCTGGACGTTAGTTTAGCTAACCACTCTGCCATGGGTGGATTTTCCTGGAGCTGACAAGGGACTCCTCAAATCTATTGCAGTCTGAAGGGGAGTATGAAAAGAACAATATCTAAATAAGTAGAACCTCAAACTTCTGGGGAGCTTTGGGTGTTGGCAACAGTCATGGAACTTTCACAGGGTATAGTAAATTCTTTGGTAAACAATAGACATGTCAAAACCCAGTTGTATGGGGAGCCCTGATGGGCCTCTAAGAATCTAGTCAGTTAGTAGCTATTTTTGCAGGAAACTAAAAGCCCCATGCTTTTCCTTGTTCTGTGATGTCATCTCTAGGGAGTGGGCTCATGAGGGGCAGCATGTCAGGAGGAAGTGGATAGGGTGAGTTGAGCCACATGGGGGAGCTTCTCACATTCTCAGTTGTGGCCACCTCAGAGCAGTGGTTTCCATAGCCATTTGGAGGACTGTTACACACCGGGTCCAGGAACCACCTGAAATTGTTGGAAGTGTCTGTGTGCATATAGCATTCTGGTGTGTCTCACCTGTCAAGAATTACTTTAGGGTCATTTGCTATTGTAGGAAGGTTTCCTGCATTCTTCATGCATCTTTACATAAACACCTGGATCTTGCAGAGGTTTTAAGAGGCTGAGGATAGGCAGCCAGTGAAGTGAAAGGACAAGTTTGCACTTAACAGTTTTTATGTTTAAGATCGGAAGCTTTCTTTTCCCCCAAGTAATCTACAGAAAAGGCAGGCTGTATAAATTAGAAAGGTTACTTTCTGCTGGGCGGTGGTGGCGCACGCCTTTTATTCCAGCACTCGGGAGGCAGAGGCAGGCGGATCTCTGTGAGTTCAAGACCAGGCTGATCTACAAGAGCTAGTTCCAGGACAGCCTCCAAAGCTACAGAGAAACCCTGTCTTGAAACCCCCCCCCCAAAAAAAAAAAGGAAAAAAAGAGAAAGGTTACTTTCCTTAGGGCTCCTGGCTCTTAATTCTATGCAAATATAGCCATTTCTTCATGATCTTAAAGCTTTTCCTGCACTGGCAAACTTCTCAATGGCTTTGCATATAACTGCATTTGAACCATCTATGTCATAGTATGTTTTGTGACCAGGGGTTAGCCAGAGAGATGTTAAGAGTCAGTTTCTTCTTCTGGATAGAGTAGGCATGAATGGAGGTGGAGGTGGAGGTGGGGGTGAGGTGGGGGTTGGAAAGGTGACCTAACAAGGTCAAGGTCTTTTGATGGATCACACCATTCTACCCACAAATTTTTTCTGTAGATGATCTGAACATTGCTGGGATTATTGGGGGAGTCTTGGTTGTCCTTATTGTTCTCGCTGTGATCACGATGGGCATCTGTTGTGCATACAGACGTGGTTGCTTCATCAACAGTACACAAGATGGAGAAAGGTATGCCTATCTTGTCTGGAAGTGACGTCAGGCTTGTATTAACGACATAGGCACACTGAACTGTCCTCTTCTCTTCACAGTTATAAGAGCCCAGGGAAGCATGATGGCGTTAATTACATTCGGACAAGTGATGAGGTAATAGAGCAGAAAACCTAACGGTCTAGGTTTTCTTGTGGGTTCAGTACTAAGGGGGTTTACTTACTACTGAGTGAGGCTTACCTCTGCTTAGTGTTGCCCCTGGCTTCGTCTTTTGGGAGTACATGATTCGTTCACATTTGATTTGACCAGTGTGTCTCCAACACCACCCAACAAAGCCCCTGAATTGGTTCTTTGTGCTGCCTTTGCAGGGTGACTTCAGACACAAATCGTCCTTTGTTATCTGAGACCTGATGGCTGGGAGAGCACTTGCAAATACCTCTACTGGAGACTGGTCAAGGGCTGCTGTGAGCCCAGGGCACCTGGTCAGAGCTACCATGCAGAAGCTTTTTGTTTTGGCCAAAGTCGATTCCTTCCTTGCTCTTTAACAAGCCACATGAATAAAAGAAATCCTCCTGAAGATGGGCATAGTAACCTAGACTGTTGCTAGCTTGATTCCCTTATGGGGATTAGGATGGTCTTCAATGCCTTTCTGTTATCAGTTTTCTTGTGCAGGGCAGCTTGGACCGCTCTTGCCACAGGCTGTTTAGCAGCCAGGACAGCCCAGGCTGTGAGAAGATGAGGGGCTGGGCTGTAGCAGCAGCTCTGTGAGCATGCCTGTGACAGTGCCCCAGGAAGGTTTTCAGGCAGTGCCTTGCTCCCTGGACCCTGACCCACCGTGTTGCCTCTGTTGATTGGCCAGTATTTTCATGTCCATCCTGGAAAATTTGCTTGGATCAGCATTTTATAAAAACCCAAATCAGAAAGATAAAATTGCTTGCTGGAACGAGATCTTACCCAGAGAACTCTCCTTCCCAAAAGTTGCCAGGATTTAGGAGAACCTCTTCTTAAGCTACGTCTGAAATGGTACTGAAGTCTGCTTTTCTATTGGTTTTGCTTATTTTATAAAATTTTAACATTCTAAATTTTTGCTAAAGATGTATTTTGATTATTGAAAATTTCTATATAAACTGTAAATATATTGCCACACAGTGTTTCAAACGTATTTTTTTAAGAGTTCAACTTAAGATTAGAAAGCTTGGGCTACTAGTGTTCAATTGGAAAATACCAGTAATAAAGTCTTTTAAGGGATTCTCTTAAGGCAGCTGGCTGAACCTTCCTTTGTTCATAAAAAGTTTTAGTATTTTTCGTAAGAAAACTTACTGTCTGACCACTGTTGCTTAGGAAACCATTAAAAAATTCAAATCTAGTCATGTTTGTATCTTTTTGCATAAAGAAACCCTGGGAACTCCTGGGCTAGTTTTGAATGGCCTCTTCCTGAGATTTCCGACTCCCAGAGAGATACTGTGCAGACCAAGTTGCATGGTTCCTAAGGTTAGTTAAGTCATTGTTCATGGTCATTAACTTGTATGGGATGGAATGTCCTCTTACGGCCTGCACAGCCCTGACCTCAGCTCTGAGTCTGGATTCAAGTGTTCATGGGTGGTTTCTGGGCTGTGCAGTGCTGGCTATTCTCACATGGGAAGCTGAGGAAGGCAGGTGGCCAGTGACATCCCAGTCTTTGGGTGCTGTGACCAAATTCAACCTGTTTTGGGTAGGTCATAAAACAAGGCCAGTGTCCTTGTTTTTAAAATTCATTTTAATTATCTGTGTAGTTGATAACTGCATGCAAGGCCAAAGGCAATTTGAAACTGAACCTGTCAAATATTTTAAAAAGATTCTACTGTTCATCTTTGTTGTGATGAAAGTATCTCAACACTGTAGGCTGTCTTCTCCATGACAAGCCGTTGTGTCCAGCCCAGCTCTTTGAAGAATAGCAGAAAGGACAGCCAGAGTACAAAGCCTGACAGTGAGCAAAGTAAAATGCCCAGCCAAAAGCAGTTTTCTAATTTTTATTTTAAATCTTTTATCTACGTGAGACAGTACTCATTTTATGGGACATTAGAAACACTATTCAAAAGCCTTTATTCTTCAGGAACAGACGTTCTTGGTCTCAAACACTTTACCATGCTAGACTCATGATGTAAAGTGGTTTGAAGCCAGGAGTGTCTAAAGGAGTTCCTAATCCTACCTTGCACCCATAGAGGTTTTTATGGAGAAGGTAGCCACTTTGTGATCTTAATTTTTTTTATGTACTTCTGCAGCCCCCCCCCTTCTTTTTTTCACCGAATACTTGAAGCACACTGTTGTTTTTTTATGTGGAAGGCTATATGCTAAGATACCAGTAGGAGCAGCAGGACAGTAATTCTGTGCCTGCCCAGTGGAGCCCAGTTTCTCTTGCTTTTGCATCTTGGATAACCTCATCCTTCCTCTACCTCTGCCCTCCTCTTGGTAGAGCAGGATATCTGCCATCTAATGGGGTGGGGTGGGAGAATAATACACTGGCCTTCCAGTGGCTGTTACAGCAATAGGGTAGCCATGTTGCTCCCTCTTTTATTCTTTCATGCCCTGAAGCCGCCTTTCACCGTGCCATGGGAACTAAGTCTGACAAAGCAACACGTGAGCCTGGAAAGCAGTGGCCTGTGACTGTACAGATATGGCCTGAAGGAGCTCACTGACCCGTAGTATGTGAATGTGTCTGAAGAAACCTGAAAGAGGCTGTTTTTTTGGCTATTGATGTTCAAGTTGTTGTTTGTAGATGTTACAGATTTATATTAACACAACTACAATTTGGTTATTTGTTAAAACTCACTCATCTATAAAAACTTAGAAACAAAATGAAACCACTTCTTTCTCTATGTTAGGCTGACCCTGTGTGCTTATCATTTGGTTAGGCACATACTCCGCAAAGGTTCCATCACATAAGGAAAGTCACATCTGTACCCAGCCAAGTGTTCACTTAAGAGCAGCTATGACACTTATTCCACCAATTGTCGGAGCTTCTTTATGGCCAAGTACAGTAGTTCTCCATCCCCGAATCTAGATACCACATGCACACTACAAACAGTAATTTTGGTGCTAGAGTGTAGTTCCGTGCCAGAGGGCTTGCCTAGGCACACCTGGTCCTGGTTTAGCATGGGGGCAGAAGGAGGGCGGCATTAGCCAGGGATGGCAGAACATGCCTGTAGTCCCTGCTATGTGAGGCTGACACAAGAAAAGGGCTAGATGAGCCCATTTTAACATGCTGAGCAATAAAGTGCGACTCACGTCTCCAGAAAAGCAGGGACTCAATCCATCTCTTCAGAATCCACAAACAACACCAACTCAAGAGACTCAAGTCATGCCCAGTTGTGGAGCAGTCCTCAGCAGTGTCACATATATACTAGTATACCTAATATACTAATAGGATGTCTGTTGTTAGGTAGACAGAAGTTTCTATATGGAACACAGGCAGGTGGGCAGACGAACCATAGTGGGAAAGATTTGATCTTATTTGTATTTAAGTATTGGTAAATCCTTAATGCAGGGTTAAGACAATAACCAATAAAGCCCTGTCCCAAAAGCCAGAAAAGTTATATTAAATGCTAGGTTATATTTATATTTGACCTTTATTACTTCATTTTAGAAAGACTGTACATCTCTTTTAATAAAATCTGCAATTATAAATAATAGAAAAATATTTCAATCAAAATTTTACCATTAGCTGAGGGGAAATATCTATTGTAACAAATTCAGACAAGCTATAGACACTTGAGTTATACAGAAGAAAGCTGGTTTCTAAAATTGTGTTCCTTAAAGACCAGATTATAACTTACCACAGAAGGTTTGAGACTCAAACACAACGTCACAATATTAAATAGCTTATTGTTATTGTAAAAAAAGTCTAAATATGTAATCTCTCTATTTATTTACAAATCTCAACTACAGTAACAAAGAGAAACATGGAAGGCTGGTTAGCCAAACACAAGTTAAACAAAGCCATGCTGGTATTCTACCAAAGGACTTGGTACTGTATAGGCAAGTCTCTCCACATGCAGACCATGCCATGCCAGCCTTTTCCCTTCCACATGGGAAAGGCAAATGTCCCTGAAGTTACTGCTGAGGCACACTGTTTCAGTTGGCTGTCTTCAGGGGGGTCTTGCGGAGGGACCTCCTGCTGGATCTTGGGTTGTCCTTGTTTCTGGCTAGAGACTTTACATTCCACTGTGGAGACTGTGGAGGCCTGGAGAAGAAAATGTAGTCAATGAAAAGAGAAAGCTCTACAAAAATGCTCCCCCCAAGAGAACTTACGATTTATCAGGCAGTGATAAACATAAAATGTCATTTCCTTGATCCTGGGCTTCGACTTTCTCTGAAAAGGAGTCAAACACAAAGAAATTTAGTTTTCCCAAAACTTCAAAGGCAGTGGGTGTCCTGATCAGATGAAAACCCAGAACTTACCTTTGGTAAAAAGTGGAGTTGCTGGTGTCCCTATGTAACTGACCCCTGCTCCAAATGTGACATTATTGATGGACTCTGGGTAAAGGGGAAACAGTGTTAGTAAAAATTCAGTAATACATAGCCACCAAGTTCTCTCTACTCTGGTTTTCAATCCTAGCCGCTACCTCACACACAGGTGACGGCCACTCATCAAAAGCTTCTGTGTGCTGCAGGACTGCACCCAGATGGAGACACCATCAGCCTCTCCTGACTTCCTCTTTCCACCAGGGCCTTTCTAAGGTTGCACTATAGCCCAGGCCTTCATTTTTGAACACCTATAGCTTCTCCCATTTCGTTCGCATCTTCCTTCAGTGACTACCCATATGGAGGTGACCCTCAACTTCCCTCCTGGTTCTCTCTCCATTTCCTATGTGTCTCACCTGTATTTCCTAAGGAGATGTCAAAACACATTGCTTGTGCCCCTGGCATTTCTTCCTTGTTACTAATGTGTTGGAAGGATTGATATGTGGTCCTCTAAAGCTTAACTGGCCAGAACCACAGGCTATATCTCTACATGGAGACAGTAACCACCCTGTCCACTCTCTTCTTCCTTGTTCCTGTCCTTGCTCACTGTAAGTATCTCAGTCCGTCTCGCCCCGTATTCTTGATCTTTCATGTTGTGTCCCTGACCTCAAAGGTCTCTTCAGCCTGACTGGGATTGTGTTCTGTTCTTTCACCAGCAGAAATTCAAGTCATTCATAGTCCGTTTATATGAGATATAATAAAGTGTCTTAACACAGTATCTGGTGCAAGCTAAGTGCCAAGGAAATAATTTATTTGCTATAATTCCCTATGTTACTGGGGCCATGCTGATTTAAAGAACAGGTAAAGTTAGTGTCCTGGTTAGAGATCCTGATGGGGCTCGGCTCTGTCTATCAAGGAGAACTGAAAATCTACCAGTTTGAGCTAGCCCTAAGCCACCTTTATAAACTCAGAAGCTTCATGAACATGGTTTAATCCACCTGGGTCCCCTGGGCATGTGGACGACCTTTCTTCAGCAGCCCCTAGCCTGTCATACCTATGTGCACATTCAACTCCTCTATTACCTCTACCTGCCCACGACACATTGCCCCATCCTGGAGTCCTACAGCTGAAGCCTTGGTGCACTGTGGATCAGCCAAAGCTGTTAAAAACTCCACATGGGAGCAGAGCCTGGGTCTACATGCTGCATTCCTATGGGCATGTGTGAGCATACAGTGAACCTTCGTGGATGGAAACATGCTAACACCCACTGCAGTGCTGGACCACTGACAGCTACTCAAGCTCTGCTGGCACACTGGCAGAGAATCCTACCTTTTGCTACTACAATCAAGCAGCACAGGGCTGCTTGTTTCTGTCCCTGGAAGGTCTCTACCTGCACTGTCAAAGGAATCATGCCTGCACCGCCCCCCTCTGCCTCACACACTGACTCTCCCAGCTGGAAGCCTATATGCATCCTGGGAGGTTCTGACAGCTCTAGGTGCACTCTGTTCAGAATCAAAGGCAGAATGAGAAATCAGGAAAATAATTCCTCTCACAATAGCTAAATACAAAATGTCTAATGGGCTGGGGAGTGCAGGGGAAACACAACTCTACAAATGACAGCTATAAAATGCTGAAAGAGAAAAAAGGATATAAGATGATAGACTTCCTGTGTGGAATAGAGATTAAGGGCTAGACTCAACTAAAAAGATAGGACTTTCCATGTTTATGGATGATCAGAATTTACATCATGAAAACGGATGTACAAAATAAATATAGGCAATGATTATCAAAATTGACATTTGCAGAAATAGAAAAAAAATTCTAAAATTCACACATTAGCACAAAAGACCCGAAAATAGCTAAAGCAGAGATCAAGTAGAGAGAGCGATGCTGGAGTAGCAGCAGGGCTTAAGTTCATTATGCTACCCAGGGCTGTCACAGCTCAGGGAGCAGAAGACCCCAACACCAGCCTGTACAGCTGGAGCCACTTCATTGTCAACGAAGGTGCTTTAAAATGAAGGAAACAACCCCACCCCTCTTCAACAAGTAAATGGCACAAGGAAGACAGGCTCTACCTAGATATAGTACAGTACAATGAAATCCTTTTCACCCTTGGCAAAAAAATCATCTGGAAATGGGGCAAAGGCCTCAATTTAAGACTTTCAAACTGCTAGAGGAAACATGGGGAAATTTTCCAGATACAATCATGGGTAATGACTTTCTGAATAGAATTCTAGAAACCGAAGAAAGGACAACAAGACCTGAGAAACAGGATTGCATCAAATCAATGACAAAGCTCTACACAGCACAGGAAACAGCAGAGTGATGAGACAACCTACAGAGTGGAGCAAAAATCTTTGTTGCTCCTCTGGTGAAGTTAATAGCCATAGCATAAGAATTAAACAAATTCCAGGCAGGCCTTGGTGGCACACACCTTTAATTCCAGCACTCGGGAGGCAGAGGCAGGTGAGTTCGAGGCCAGCCTGGTCCCCAGAGAGAGTGCCAGGATAGGCTCCAAAGCTACACAGAGAAACCCTGTCTCCAAAAAACAAAACAAAAAAAATCCCAACAACAACAAAAGAATTAAACAAATTCCAAAGAACAAAATCCAGTGGATAAATGGGCATACTAATCCAACAAGTTCTCAAAGTACATGTGGCCAATAAATCATGGAAAGATGTTCAATAGCCTCAGCTGTCAGGGAAATGGGATCATAGCTGAAATGATACCAGATACCAAGTCCATCAGAATGGGTGGTTACCACCAAGGAAAGTGCTAGGTATGGTGCCAGGTTGCGGGGGGGTGGGGGTGGGGGATTGTATAAATCATCTGGAAGTAGAAGGGCACCCATGCTCTGACAGTTCTCCCAGGAAGGAGAGAACAGGGAGGGGCCCTTTTTTGAGCCTTCCTTCCTGGTTCAAAATACAGATGGGTAGAAACTGCACCAACAGCCAGAGAAAGAATAGGCAGTGTCCTGACCTAGTGACACCCGAGTTTGATTTTCCATCAAAGACGATTCCATACATGCAAATTAGATCAGCATGAATGCACCATGCCAGATTTCACTGCTAAGCAACACATGCTGCCAGGAAACCAACTGAAGATTGACATCAGGGACTCATGGGATACGCAAAGCTGAAATGAGGTACATGTGCTCTGCTTCTATAGCATATGGTACCTAAGTGCCAAAATAGAAGCACTTTGTTCCCCTGAGCCAGAACACTGAACATAAAAACTTCTCTCTGTAAGAGGAGGACAATTTTACGTATCTTACGTCATACCTGCTGGTACCCAACAAGTCACAATCACTGTCTTAATATCAAAAACTGCCATGATCCAGTTGTTATCTAAGGAAAAGTAGGGTAGGAATTCTGATCATTCACAGTAATTCCCTGAAAAGGGGGTCCTGCATGACAAGGACCTATAACCACTTGCATATTTTAAGACACCAAAACACCATAAGTTAACAGAATGGCAAGTAGCCAGAATCCAGGAGGTATGCCGGGAAAGTACATGGGCTGAAGGCATGAGTGTCTCATCACTGCTGTCCAGAAGCTCTGTTCTCATCTCACCATCACAGGAACCAAAGAGAGAGACAGGCCCAGAGGGGCACAGAGGTCACGATCTGGTGTTTTTTTAACAGGTCTCTGAGGCCTCTCTATTTAGAATGAAGAGTGGCTTGACACAGGCACCCTAGCATGCTCAGCTGGGGCAGGGCAGGGAAGGCATACCAGGCAGGCTCTCAGGAATTAAGAGTATGCATGTCAGCCAGCAGTGGTCTCTATAGTCCAAGCTGAACAATGCCAATCTTAAAAAGTGAAAATTGCAAATGACCTCAAATCTGAATTATTGCAACACAAAGTCAAAGTGGAAAATAACTGACCTCACATGATGGTGGCAGTCAAAACAGGTTTTATATTATTCCAGGCTATATGTTTGGGGTATATATGAGACAAATGAATTAAAGTAGGGTCCCATTCCAAAGATATCTCATTAAATATATACAAATATCCCAAAATCTTGGAACTGGAAGTTGCAAGAGATCGTGAATTGTAAACACTTCTGGTGCCAGCATTTTAGGGAAGGGTTTTCTCCCTGGGTAAGTTTTTATTTGGTTTGGGAGAACAAGAAGCTAACTGTTCTGACTTAGGACATTAGAAGCACACATACAATAGGATGTGAGGAGACCCATACTCTTGGTATATACAGGAGGAGTGGTGCACCAGGGCAGAACCCCAGAGCAATAAGATACATGCAGTGCTAACCTCTGACCACAGCCTAGGGCAAAACAGACTAGCAGAGGGTCACCTCCATAATGTTACTTTGGGGCTGTGACCTAACCTATCTGTTCCCCAGTTCAGGATCCCTCTCGGGTTGTGAGGTTTAACCAAGTTAATGCATGAACCCCTGGGATGAGTGCTTACTGTTCAGTAAACTCTCCATCAAGTAAGAGCAGTCACCATGAAACATGCACATCAGCAGCCGATTACAAGGACTATCTTACAGTGGAAGGTTTACCATTAGCATTATTATGGCAACTGGAGGGAAGGATGGGAAAAACTAGCCTATTCCAACTAGTTACTTACTTTCTGGGGTGCTGATTGCCCGTTTAGTTACATGTTTGACAGCTGCATCAGACTCTTGCTCCATGCTTAGGGAAGCTGCGAAGATAGAACAGAAATATATATCAGTTCAAAATCCCAAAGCAGCATCATACACAAAAAAGGAAAAAAAGAAAAATAAGAAAACAAGCTACACGTGAAAAGTAAAAATTCCCAATGTTTTAAGTGATATAACAAACAGGTCATAGAAATTAAGAAAACAATGTAAAATAAAAAATATATATATATATATATATATATATATATATATATATATATATTATTGTTATTATTTCAGAGACAAGGGCTCACTCTGTAGCCCAGGCTGGCCTAAAAATCATGACAGTCCTTCTGCTTCATCCTCCCAAGTGCTGGATTATAGGTGCAGACCACCACACCCAGCTTAGGTCTTTGCCACTGGAAATAATTTTGCATAGAAGACGACTTACAAGGACTTTTACTGTGTTATTTACATAAAAAAAATTGAAAAGCATCAAAACTTTCAAGAATAAGGTAGTAAAAAAAGGCTCAGGACCCCCAGTTTGAGATGGGATGCTATAAAGCCACTGGACAAGAGTCTTTTGAAACACTCACGGAATCATTTTCACTATGTATCTTACAGGTGTGTAGATGAAGCAAGTTATAAAGCATCACAGTAAGAACCCAGTCATAAATAAAACACATGTATGTTAGGAAAGTGATAGCTTTAGCACCCCATTTTCCAAATCCCTTAGCACAGGAAATATGCTCAGCCTTAATCCTGAATCTCCAATTAATGCTATTTAAGGACAACAGCAAACATTTTCAGCTGGGTGGTGGTGGCACATACCTTTAATACCAGCACTTGGGAGGCAGAGGCAGGCAGATCTCTGGGAGTTTGAGGCCAGCCTGGACTTACAGGTCAGGTTCCAGGAGAGTCAGGGCTACACAGAGAAGCCGCATCTCAGGGGGATAAAAGAATAAAAAGAAAAGGAAAGTGAAAAAAGATAAGATTTTAAAAGAGATGAGACATATACTGGCTTTTTGAACTGCACATGCTCACTTGATCTAGTGGCAACCATAATGCTTACCATGGCTGCGGGATTTTTCTGGGCTTCCAGACTCTACACTGAAAGGTAAAGCTCCTAAGCTGCGCCTATGACTTTTGTTCTTCGACTCGACGGCTTTCTTGACTGAATTCAGAATTGCGATGGTACTCAGGGACATGGACCTGTGGAGACAAGATCCCAGACACTGACTGCAAGTGCAGACTACCATGGAGGCATCAGTGCCCCCCGCGCTTCCTTTCTGATAGTCTGTTCAAACACCCTCTTCCCACTCAGAGAAGTATGTGGTGTGAGGTGTCAGGACAGTGATGAGACAGTGATGGTTGAGGCCTGGTGGGAATGAAAAGATGGCTATGAGAATACCATGAAGAGACTCAGGCTGCTGCTGTCTCAGTGGGCTCCCTACCTGGCACTGGGTATCATCGTCAGAGGCCCATTTTCGGATATGGGAGACAGAGTTGGCGTGAAGCTGGACCCAGGTGCTGAAGGCCGGCTGTTGGCCACAGGCACATTAACATTTTCCTGATCAGCAGCAGCATTTATGGCTTGAGAGTCAGGAGTACCCTATTCCAGGAATAAACAAGAATATCATGAAATGCTATGAAAAGTGCCCAGGTAATCCAATTTCACCCTGGACAAGGACAACCAAGACCTTCCCTTTAAAACAGAACTATCCACAAACCGCCTCACACGGATGCTGTGGCAGGTTTGTCTTTCCCTTTTAATATAGCATATCTGCTTGAGCTCCTTAGACAAAAGAATGTGAGCAACAGCTACACTCACAAACGCCCTCACACACAATAAGCTCTACAGGGCAGACTCAACACAGAAGACATGGAAAGATGGAGGCGGAGGTGGCTACAGAAATCAAAGATCATGTGTGCTCTGCCAGTGTACCTACTGGGAACTCACACTCTCTAATGATTACCACACTTTTCCAAGCAAGGTCCCCTGACAGGGCCTGGAGAAAGAGAACCCTTGAGCTACTGGTGTGTCTATCACATGTAACAAGTTGGCCAGCAAGGAACAAGCCCCAGATGTCAACTCCAACCTCTGATTACAGATTTTGAGGAATGCAAAGAAAAATGACTGCAAGCAGCAGACTAGAGAGCTGGTGAACCATGGTGGCCTCTCGTACCTGCATGGGCTGTGCTCTGTCACCCCCTTCAGCCATTCTGCTCACATCAGCTTGTGCTGTCAGAGCTTGTTCCTGAGCTAACTGTTCGTTGTACTTCTTCATGTCATACTCAAGTTCAGAGGCCAGTTGTTTATCAACTGCAAAGAAATCTTTGATTTCATCTCGGTAATCCTGCATCACCTCCTGAAACAGACACAGCATCCTTTAGTATCTTCCTGATAAAAAGTGAGGTCTTACTGGTGTGGTGCACACCTGCAATTCCAGTAGCAGGGCAAGTGAGACCGGAGGATCCTGAGTTCCAGGTAAGCTCAAGCTACACGGTTCGCCTTATCTCCACAGCAACAACACATCATCAGTACCCCATGACACAATTAACAGGTTGCTCAGCACAATGGCATTTTCTGAGCAAGCACTGACCGCAAAAGCAGGTGACCATGATGTGAGTTATTAGCTAACAGTTGTGGCCTCTCAGGATGTTTCCTGTCAAGCGGCCATGTTGATGGGAAAGGTCCTTGTGGAGGTCACAGAGGTGGTGCAGCCTGGAAGCTGCTCATGTCTGCCTCAGCTTTCTCTACTGGTGCCCCGGAAGCAGGGAGGGAAGGGGATATGGCACAACAACAAAAAGTAAATTCTCATGGTCTCCATTAAGTGAGTTCATCTTTCCTAGCTGACTTTCCCTAGGAGGCAAACTATTTCAAAGAAACATTTTACGTCAGAAGAAAACATACTGGTGTCAGTTCTCCCCTCTACCATACGGGTTCTGGGACAGTAAGCACCTTTGTTTACTGAGCCATCCTGCCATCACCAATACAGCGGGGAGGGGCTTTGGTCTTGCCTCATCTTGGTATGCCAGACTTTGTGGACTCTCCAAGGAAGGCCTTGCCCCCTGAGGAGTGGAGGTGGGGGGATGGGAAGAGGGAGGTGGGGGGGCAGGAGGTGAGAGAGGGGCAACTGGGGTTGGTATGTAAAATGAAAAAAATTTAAATAAAAAAAGAAAAAAATATGAACAAAGAAAAAGCTGCTACATTAAAGGAGAAAAATGTGCCTCCTTTTGTCAAAGGCCTTGCTTAGGTCTGTACTTTAGGTAAACACATGCCAGTTTTGCTAGGGTAGCTTCTCATGGCCCCTGCTTTACAGACAGCCCAGGTACAGGAATTGCCCTCAAGGCAACACCCTATCCCGGTGTGCATGATCCTGCCATAGGCCCATGACTTCTTGCCCACAAAAGCAAACACCCAACATGAAACGTGACTACTAATTTCCAGTCCATCCTTACCGGGTGGACAAGGATAATGTCTTGTCCTCAGCCTTAGTGGAGAAAACCTTTAGACTGGAACCTCTTCCCAAGGAAAGATAGATAGGTTCAGAACATGACTGTTTTTAAGCTCAGCTGCCTGAGAAACAGAAGGAGCAACCTCAGTGGTGCCTCTGCCAGACTCTTCAGTACCTCAAAGTCCACAGCAGTCCCAGTAGGGACAATTCTACACAGACTAGGTTTCGAAGCATTCTGAGATCTCATTCACTGTCTAGACTAACCAATGGACCTGGGGCAGTGGGGCTGGGGAGGAAAACCCCACAGAGCAAGCTCCTCACTTACCCTGAGGTAGTTCATGAGTTCCCGCAGAGCAGGGATCTTGTTTTTCTCCAGCACAGTCTTCAGGGAGGTGATGATTGGAATAATATTCTCTATGAAATTCCTCTTTTGAACCTGCAGGGGTACAAACAAAAGCATGCCTTATTTGCACACATATTTGAAAATAACTTTTCCTTGATCCACTTCTTTGAGCACACCAAATCTAGCAGACTACGGAGGCTTGTCTGCCATTTGACCAGGATACTGGGAATAAAGAGCGTGTATGCACAGCCTGTCCTCAGACCTTAAGTGCCACAGCATGTGCAGGCTTGTCCATCAGAATGCACATTAACACCATTCACATGTTCTAAATGACAACAAGGAGTAAGAAATATGATGAGGAACTTGACAAAAAGTTCCACCCTCCACACAGCCCTGATGGACCTTGGCCCTGGCTCTACCCTGCACCCTTCCTTTTGAAAGACAATCTGTTCATGCTGATTACCAAAGAGACACATTATACTCTTCTGAGTAAAAAGTAAAGAATACAGCAAGTACTCTTAATTGATGAGCCCTCTTTCCAGCCAGCCCCCACATTTATCCTTTTAAGAAAAGTTCCATGAGCATTCATGAAGCACCAAGTGCTCCATAGCACAGATCATCTGCAACCCACCACCCCCAGAAGTTCCTTGCTGCCTCAACAGCCATTTTCAATATATTTTACAGAGGATAACTGTGCTTAAGAAAGATTGTTTTGGCAGAAGAGTGCACAGTACATGTTCTGCAAGAGAAAAACCGGAGATAGGAAGGGTGCTGACAGGAAATGGCACATGCTAAAAGAAACAACCACTGGAAAGGCAAGAGACAGCATGCAAGTAAAACAGACAAGATCTTCTGGAAAATTGAATGTAATCAAAATTTTTTGGGATCAAAAGATTCCAGGGTTCAGATAGGAAATCAAACCAGACATTCAAGCTAGGTACAAGACCATGGAGCCTGCTGAGGGATGTGACAACTAGGTCTTTCCAGTCACTGAGCTTCTAATTTGACTCTGTTGGTCAACTCAAACATATTCTTGGTATGCCAGACTCTGCCTTTGGCTGTAGCGCAAATCTCTAAAAAGGAATCTTTGGTATATAATTGCTCCATTCCCTACAAAAGACTGGAAGATGGAACCAACCAAGAATAAATGATTAATTTAGTTCTGACAGTAAATGTGAGACACCATGTACATCTGGACAGGCAAGAAATACACATTCAGTTCAGTTACCTTCAGTGCAAGGTAACCCAGTCACAAAAAGACAAACATGGTATGTACTCACTCATACGTGGGTTTTAGACATAGAGTAAAGGATTACCAGCCTACAATCCACACTGCCAGAGAAGCTAGTAAACAAGGAGTACCCTAAGAGAGACATACATGGTCCCCTGGAGAAGTGGAAACGGACAAGACCTCCTGAGCAAATTGGTAGTATGGGGGGAGGGGAGAGGGAACTAGGAAAATGAGAAGGGGAGAAGAGGAGGGGTGAGGAGGACATGATGGGGCAGGGTGGTTGAGCTGGGGGAAGAACAGAAGAGAGCAAGATAAGAGATAATATAATAGAGGGAGATATTATAGGTTTAAAGAGAAATCAGGCATTAGGTAAATGTCTGGAGCGCTACAAAGATAACGCCAACTAACAATCTAAGCAACAGAGGAGAGGCTACCTTAAATGCCCTCTCCTGATAATGAGATTGATGACTAATTCATATGCCATCCTATAGCTTTCATCCAGCAGCTGGTGGAAGTAGAAGCAGACACCCACAGCTAAACCTTGAACTGAACTGAAATTCAGTTGTGGGAGAAGGAGAATTGATGAGCATAGGGGTCTATACCAGGTTGATGAAACCCACAGAAACAGCTGGCCTGAACAAGGGAGAGCTGTTGGTCCCCAGACTGATAGCTGGGAAACCAGCATGGGACTGATCCAGACCCCCTGAACATGGGTGTCAGTGAGGAGACCTTGGAAATCTATGGGGCCCCTTGTAGTGGATCAGTACTTATCCCTAGCACAGGAATAGACTCTGGGAACTCATCCCACATGGAAGGATACTCCCTGAGCCTAGACACAAGGGGGTTGGCCTAGGCCCTATCCCAAAGGATATGACAGACTTTGAAGACCCCCCTACAGAAGGCCTCACCCTCCCTGGGGAGCTGATAGGGTATGGGATAGGTAGGGTATTAGTTGGGGGGGGAGGGGAGGAGGGGAGGGAGAGGGAACTGGGATTAACATGTAAAATAATCTTTTTAATTAAAATAAACAAATTTAAAAAAAAGAAAGAAATACACATTCAGGTTCGTGGAAGGAGCTGTAGCTAGAGGCAGAGACTTCAGAATCACGACCAACCATAAAGCCACTGGTAAGAATGGCTCCAGGACTTAGGTACACAACCACACTGGAGCAGCAGAATGTGCACATACCTGGGAGATGATCTTCATCTGGGCTTCCTGCATGACCACATTTGCCAGAGCCATGTCGTCTTCCTCCAAGAGATCCTTGCACGCTTGAGCTCTCATTGCCAACAGCTTGATCTCCTTTGAGCTGAGGATGTCAAAGGTATCTGAGAGCAACTCGCTGGCCTCCATGTCCAGGGGCAGGATGCCATCAGTGAAGCATGCTGAGAGAGCACAGGGGAGCAGTGTCTGAGAAACCCTTAGGCCAGAGGGGAAAGGGAATTCACAGAACTAGGGCAAGTCTAGGCCGTGAATGGGGGTGCCCTAAGAGACATAACTAATGCTAAGAAGGACAAAAAAAGACACGTCTTCCATACAGACCTGCTGTGCTATCACCGACAGCCTTTTAAGAACACATTCACCCCAAGTATATCAGACGTACCCAAAATACTAAGGCAGATTTTGGAAGTGACATTGAATCGCTGCTCATCTGTGAAGTGCTCAAGGAGAAATTTGTAGATTCTCATTCGTTTCTCCTTGTTTGTCTTTCCCTTTAGCAAAAACAGCCGCTTCCCTCTGTGGCAGAACAGGACAATATTACTGCACTGTATAGGTACAGGTGACAAAGATTAAATACAGCACCCTCAAGGCTGTGTGACTAGGTTCCAGTGTCCTCACAGACATTACCCTTAGGAGTCTACCATTATGCCTGAGTTTCCTTTTGTCATCGTGCCAAGGAAACGAATGACCACTGCAGCAGACGTCAGGTGAGTGTCATGCCCAACCTCTGCGTGACACAGCCAGCACCTCTGGAGCCTTACCACAGCTCTTACCAAGACATGGAGGTGTGCCCACCGCAGCTGCCCACTCACCTCTCTGTCTGGGAAAACTTGTTATACTGCCCATGTTTCTCATAGCTGTTGAAGTGGAATATACACTCAATGAAGTGCTGGAAGAACATGGTAGGGTTCCTCTTCAGCAACAAGTGAGCCAGGCAGAACTCCCCAAGGCTGCAAAGGAGAGAGGCAAAAGAAGACCCACTCACTGTCGGTCTACAGATCTGCTAAGAATTCCGCCAAACAGAAAAGCATAGAATTCGAAACACATCTCAACAAACCGCCTCATGGGCTGAAAGCGAGTCAGGAATGCTACTCACTTTGTCTGCCTAGCTCTATATTTCATTTGAAAGCCAAGGGCCACATAAATGCTTTCTCTACCAAGTTTTATTTTATTGCTAAGATTTATTACTTCCAATTATTTGTATGGCTGTGTGTAGGGGTATGTCCACAAGTTGAAAATGCCCAGTTTGTGGAGACCAGAAAAGGGCTTCGAATACCCCAGAGCTGGAGTTACAGGTTATGAGGTACCTCATGAGGAACAGAACTGCATCCTCTACAAGAGTAGTACTCCTACCTGCTGAACCATCTCTCCACTCTGCTCTATAAGCTTATACTTCAAAACTCAAATAAAGTGGTATTATCCAGATATACTTCTAAAAGAAAAAAAAAAAAAAAACTAACCAATTTTCCTAAAACTCCTTCAAGCAGAGGCCTGGTCTTCATGCCTAGTGCAATGATAATGATTATCTGAAAATCAACACTTGGCCTTCATTCTCCAAGATGCTAGACACAATAATGAGCAAACATCCGTTTTAATACTCAAAACTTTCCTTAAGAATAAAGAATAGTGGGCTGGAGAGATAGCTCAGAGGTTAAGAGCAGACTGCTCTTGCAGAGGTCCTGAGTTCAATTCCCAGCAACCACATACTGGCTCACACCATCCGTAATGAGATCTGGTGCCCTCTTCTGGTCTGGAGACATACATGCAGACAGAATACTGAATACATAATAAATAAATAAATCTTAAAAAAGATTCACTTTGTCAAGAATGGAACTTTAGTTTCACTGTATAGCTCAGCCATGATTCCCAGCTACCCAGGGGTACCAGCCAGAGCAGAGACAAAGATGACTCTCATGTTTTGCACTTGGTTTTGGAAGGCATTAGGACTTTGTTGGAAACTGACTTCTTCTTGTTGTATTTCTCAGGTTGAGAAGCAAGCTAGTTTGAATTGTGTATATCAGTTAAAATTCAGAACAGGAGCTCAGAAGCCATGATGTTAAAAAATCTTAGTTTTTAAAAGTTCTGCAGAGGAGACAGTCAGGTACTGCCTAGGAAACAAGGTATCAGGATAACTTTTATTATTAAAAAACATTTTTAAAAGATGGTGCCAAGTACAGCATAATTTTTTATAAAATATATTTTAGTCAGTTATTCCCCTCTCCCAACTCCTCCCCACTTCCTGACCAACCAAACATCAAATTTCAAGTTATTTCTCCTTCCTCTCTAAAAAACAGTAAGGAAATAGGACAAAAAGTAACAAAACCCAAACCAAAACTACACAAAACAAAATACGGAGTTTGTTTTGTATTGGTCAACTATTCCTGAGCATGAGGCTGGCTCTGGAGTGCAGGTGCTATACCCAGTGACATTCCACTGGAGAAAACTGATTTTTTTTCCTCTCCCAGCAGATGTCAACTGCCAACTAGGACTGGGACTGTGTCCACTTCCTCTTCTCAGTGTTGGGATTCTGTCAGACTTGAGTCTATGCAGGTCTTGCGCACACTGCCACAGTCTCTCTGAGTTCATATGTGCCTCAGTCCTGTTGTGTCTGGAAGACACTGTTTCCTTGAAGTCATCCATGACCTCTGGCTCTTACAATCTCCCTCCCTCCTCTTCCACATAGTGCCCTGAGCCTTGTGGGGATGGGGGTTTGATGAAGACATCCCTATTAGGACTGAGAATTCCAAAGTCTCTCACTGTCTGTCCAGTGTCCACTGTGGGTCTCTGTTAGTCACAACCTATTGCAAGAAGAAGCGTCTCTGATAAGACATGATCTATGGCCATAAAGAATCATTTTATTCTTATTTTTCTTTAGTGCAATAACATGGGTAGGTTTTCCCCTAGGCCCATTACCTAACTAGTATCAGGTTCTTGGCTACTTTAGCAGTGTCAGGTATAGGATCCATCTCATGAGTGGGTCTTAAATCCAGTTTTGAAAAAAAGTGGCTAGCTACTCCCAAAACATTTGTGCCACTATTTCAGCAGTATATACTGCAGGCAGGTCATTGTAGGTTGTAGGGTTCATAAGCTGACTGATACTGATTACTTTTCTCCTTTGGTAATAGCAAAGTACCTTCCAGTACCATCAATGTGGGTCAGCAGATGTGAAGTTTCTAGTTTGGTACCAGCTGTATTTTTCCATGCTCAATGACAAAGTGTCCTCAGCAATAGGGTCCTACCACTAGGATGCGAAGAGCAACTAATAGCCTTGTGATGCTTGAGGAAGCCCAAGAGATCCCTTTAGCCAATGACTCAACAAGATGTAACCATTCCTGGAAATGGAGGTTTTACTTGGCATAAGGTATCTAGTTTGGGTATTGTATCCCCCATAATATGGTGACTACATTTCCTTTCATATGTGAATATAGTTTTGAAGCTTCTACAGTAGTAGGTTTCCATGGCTTTTCAAGGCCTTTAGTGTTAGCTGTGCCTCCCCACATTCCTTCCTTTATCCTACTCTCATCCTGCTCCCCAGTTAATCCTATTCTAATTTGCAAGAGGCATAAGTCAGGGATGACTTTAAGGAAACAGTCTACCAGATACAGCAGGATTGATGCACACATTCTCTCCACAATACTATATTCTACTCCCCTGTTCTCAGGAAATACCTCCATCCCTGCATCCTTATCATCCTAACCTCTGTGGTTATTCAGGTGGTAGCAACATACTGAAAGCTTAAAAGCTAATAACCATATGTAAGAGGTAACATCTTGCCCTGAAACTCAGGACAGTTTAATCATTTCTCCCCACCCACTGTTCTTGGATATTCTCCTTCCTTCCTTCCTTCCTTCCTTCCTTCCTTCCTTCCTTTCCCTCCCTTCCTTCCTTTTTTCTAGAGCTTTCAGGTTTGTTAAATTATGAAATCTCTCCAGTTTTTTACGTAGGCACTTTGTGCTATGAACTTGCCTTTTAGAGCTGCCTTCATTATGTCCTATGGGATTGGGTATATTGTGTTCTCATTTTCATTCAGTTCTAAAAGTTTGTAATTTTCTTGATTTCTTGGTCCAATTTTCATTCAGTAATGAGTTTTCAGTTTCCTTCAGTTTGCATATTTTCTGCTATTTCTGTTGTCGATATCAAGTTTTAATCCATGGTGATCAGATATGATGTGGGATGTTATTCCACTTTTCTTGTATCTGTTGAGACTTGCTCAGTGTCCTAACATGTGGTTCATTTTGGAGAAAGTTCCATGAGCTGCTAAAAAAGAAATATATTCTTTAGCGTTTCAGTGAAATGTTCTGTGAATTCTGGAAAGTTCTGCCAGGACTCTCTGATTTATGATGTTATTTAACTCCAGGGCTTCTCTGCTTAGGTTTTACCTGGGTGATCTGCTTATTGGAGAGAGTGGGATATCAAAGTCATCCACTATGACTGTGTTAGGGTCATATGTGATTTCCGCTGTAGTAGTATTTCTTTTATGAACTTGGGTGCCCTTACATTTGATGTACAAATGTTCAGAATTGCAATGTTCTCTTGGTGGAGCTTTCCTTTAATGACCTATGTAGTGATCTTCCCCATCTCTTCTGATTAGTTTTGGTTTGAAGTCTACTTTGCCAGATATTAAAATAGCAATACTTGCTTCTTGATTCCATTTACTTAAAATAATCTTTTCCATCCTTTTACCCTGAGGTGATATTGGTCTTTGATGGAGGTGTGTGTGCTTCTTAGATGCAACAAAAAGATAGATCCTGTTTTCTAATCCAATCTGTTGGTTGTGTCTTTTTTTGGGGGTGGGGGTGGGGGATGGATTGAGACCATTAATAGAGTTACTGATGAACAGTGTTTACCAATTCCTGTTATTTGTTGCTGTGGTGTGAGTTCCCCCACCCCCTCTCTTGATTTACTGTTCTGGGATTATTTGTTTATTGTGTCCTCTTGGGTGTAGTTAACTTCTCTTCAGACTAAAGTTTTCCTTCTAGAGCCTTCTGTGGGCTGAATTGATGGATAGAAATTTCTTATTTTTTTTCTTATTGTGGAATGTTTTTCTGTTTGTTGTGATTAGTAGTTTTCTGATATCATAGTCTGCACTGGAGTCTGTGGTCTCTCAAGTTGGTAGAATATCCATCCATGTCTTTCTGGCTTCTAGAGTTTCCACTGAAAAGCCAGATGTTATTCTAATAGGACCATCTTTATATGGCCTTTCCCCATGAACTTGAAGCTTTAATGTCATTTCTTGTTCTAAACATTTAGTGTTTTATTATGTGTAGGGGAGAATTTCTTTTCTGGCGCAATCTATTTGGTGTTTTGTATGCTTCTTGTTCCTCGATTGGCATCTCCTTCTTTATGCTGGGGAAATTTCTTCTTTAATTCTGTTAGAGATATTTTCTGTGCCTTTTGACTTGGGTTTTTTCAACTTCTTCTACCCCTATTAGTCACAGATTTGGTCTTTTTGTAAGGTCCTGGACTGCCTAGATGTTTTGTACCTGAATTTTTTTTCCAGATAAAATAATTTCTTTGACCGACCTATCTATTTCTTCTACTTTGTCTTTGAGATGTGACAGTCTCTCTTCCATGTCTTTTAATCTGTTGGTGAGGCTTACCTCTGAGGCTTTTGTTTGACATCCTGAGGTTTTCATTTCCAGTTTTATTTCGCTTTGTGTTTTCTTTAGTGACTCAATTTCTTTGTTAAATTCTATTCCCATGTCTTGAATTGTTTTCACTATTTCATTCAACTGTATGTGTTTTCATGGTCTTCATTAAGGCATTTATTCATATCCTCTTTAAGGTCTTACAACATATTCATAATTAGTATTTTGAAGTCCTTGTTTTGTGCTTCAGCTAAATTGCTTTTCTTAGGGCTTATTGCAGTTGAGTTTCTGGCTTCTGGAGGAGGCATATTGTCTTGCTTGTTCATGTTTGTGTTCTTATGCTGAGATCTAGGCATCTGGAAATAGACTGTTTGGAGTGTTTGCTGTGTAGACATCTGGTCTCGTCTTTGTTGGTAGGTGTTCTATTCTTTGGTCGCTTTGCCTACTCTGTGTCCTAGCTAAATGTGGTGGCTGCAGGGTCCCTGGTAGACTGTTTCTACAGGTTGCTGGGTGTCACACAGGAATGGAAATGGGTTAGAGGCTAAGACTATAGGAAAGAACTAGAGGGTCCCTGGATCCGTCTAGGATGACTTTCAAACACAGAAATGAACACAATTTTGTATAATAAAAGGTTAATTCGTTTGTTTTTATCTATGAGTTCTAACTTTTTTTAAGGACTGGGTCTCAAGTAGCCTAGGCTGACCTTGAACTTGCCACACTGTTGAACTCCTAATATCATTTCCACCTCCTGAGTGCTTCAATTACAAGTATAAGCCAGCACACATGGCTCCATATATTCTTTACAGACTGAACTGTTTAGAAATCTACATTTGAAAGGCAAAGTTCACAACATCAGATGGAGTTCTTTCAGAACTAAAGTTACTTTGGTAAACCATCTGTGACCAGAATGGGGAAAACCAGGATTCTCCCAAGGAAATGAAGACTAGGAATTTGCCCTCTGTGGTCTGCTTTCTGGCCAGTCTGCTATAGTACACTGGGTCTCATGTCCACCTGAACCCTCTCCTCAGACCTGAACTGGCCTTATGAATCCACTAATTCATCAGGAGGGAGAGCCGCTTTAACCTGCTGCCAGGTCGGCGTTCATCTTCTTGGGGTTTAGGCTGGGAACGAAGACCAGCAGAGGTAACTGACAATGAGACACTGGTCTGGACCCTACTAGAAGCTATGCACATATACTTCACTGTCATGCAAACCCTCGCAGGATGGCACGCTCAAGGATGAAGGCTGCCACTGAGGTTTTTGTGAGGAGAAGCTGAAATCAGTCACTGCACAGAGTCTAATCTCAATGCTGCATCTACAGGGTTTTTACTAGAGCGGCAGCAAGTTTCAGTCTTGATACACCGGAGAAAAGGATCTAACTGTCTTGGTCTGCTGAAAAGCTAAAAGAAATTTAAATTAGACTCAAGGAAGGTGAAGGCAAGGGATGGGGGAGTGGCAACTGGTTACAGCAACAGACATGCAGCTAGTCCAGCATGACAGCCTCTACTATCTGTTTCCTGTTAGTTTGGGATCTTACTTTTTTCTCCATCCCAAATCATGACTCAGTGTCTTTAAGGTTCATATACAGGTACCCAACTGTCACCACACCTGCCATTTTCCAGACTTCTTTATCCACAGTTCCCCCACTTTCATATTCCATGTCACCACCCTGTGGCCTTGCTGTGGACGATGTCACTGCACTGAATCAAAGGGCTTCTGCATGTGCCCTGTCTGTCCTTCTAGCTGTTTAGACTCCCCATCCCACTCCATTTGTTCTGCAACTTCACTGAGTGCTCTATAGAAAGAAGTCTCTCTGTTAAACCAAGTCACCTTCCATTTTCCTCCCCTTTCTTTCTCAGTGGTACTTTGAACTATTTTTGCAGCAATTGCTTATTAAACAGTCTGTTTATTATTTACGAGGCTATCACCCTGTGACTATGGGATGGCAAGGCTGCCACCTAGTGGTTATAGAAGAAAACATATCAAATAATTTTGTATTTTTAAAATACGGTTTTATATGACCCTGCTAAAGAAGTGCTGGGATAAGCCGGGCGTTGGTGGTGCACGCCTTTAATCCCAACACTCGGGTGGCAGAGACAGGTGGATCTCTGTGAGTTCGAGGCCAGCCTGGTCTCCAGAGTGAGTGTCAGGATAGGCTCCAAAGCTACACAGAGAAACTCTGTCTCGAAAAACAAAACAAAACAACAACAAAAATGTGCTGGGATGTAGCGCAGTGGTAGAACACTTACATAACATATACAAGGCCCTAGCTTCAATGCCCACTCCCCATTTTCCTTCCTTAATTTCCTCATGCTAGAATCCTCATGAAATCCAACTGGACAAAAAAAGCATTCAACAGGCTCTGCCTCCCAGTCTCTGTAACTTCTGACATGGCAGAAATATAGAGAGAGATTAATCCACTTACTATAAACAGATAGGTCTGACATTGGCCTAACTACGCAGTCATCGGCTTTTCTGAAAGAAGAAACTCCTGCCCACATTTCCATGGTTTAAATAAACCCAGAATGCAGGGATAAAACTGGGAGCTTTAGGGTTGGTGAGATGGCCAGTGAGTAAAAGGGCCTGTCACCAAACCTAATGACCTGCGGTTAATCACTGGGACCTACAGGATGAAAGGCGGGAACTAACTCCTGCAAATTGTCTGACCTCCACATGTGCGCTGTGGCAAATACATGCCCAAACACAGACACACATAATAAGGGGATGAATAAGATGTAATAACGTTTTAGTGAGAGATTTAAGGAGAGAATTGGAAATGCTAAGCGTGCTGACTGTCTCACCCCTGTGTACAGCCTCTCTTCATCTGACTGAATTTCCTTCTGACCCCTGAGCAGAATCTGGATTTACACCATCTATGTTAAATGTTACGCACTGACTAATGCTCTTCTTAAAATATATTCTTTTCAATGATTTAAAATGTATTATTTTAATCTATTTGTCTGTCTGTCTGTCTATATATATCCATATATATTACATATTTATGGGGTACCATGTGATATTTTAACATATGTATATGTTTAACACATGTAAAATGTTTAAATTGGGTTAAACTTAACATTGCCTCTTTTTTTTGTGTGGGGATTTCTTGACAGGGTTTCTCTATGTAACAGCTCTGGCTGTTCTGAAACTCTCTTTGTAGATCTACCTGCCTCTGCTTTAATCCCCAGTGCTGGGATTAAAGGTGTGCACTGCCACTGCCGGACATCTACTGTCTCTTTTAAACATGCTTACATTAAGCTAATAAAAATGAGAGAAAAGATGGAAATGCAGCATAAACAGACAATGTGCATCCTAGGTTCATCACTAAAAGCAAATGAGCACCTCTGCCAGGCCCAGTGTGACTATGTCACTGTTGACTACAAGGGTCCTTAGGGAGCTCATTAAAATCAGGTAGGAATGGCACAGCCATCCCTTCCTTTGCCCAAGTATACAAAAAAGTTGGCCGCCCCAGCTTTTTTCTTTGCTTCTGACTCTAGACAATACTAATCAGAAGGTTAACCTTCTGCTACTTTGTTATTTGAAATATTCTTCCTTTGAAAATTAAACCCAAAGAATTCAACAGAAATTCTTCTACGGAAAGCAGACTAAATTATTGGTGACCAAATTTAGAAGCAGAGGGAGCCATTATCACAAGCTACTTATAGTTACTGAACTCTGTAAAGACCTTTCGCCTGCTGTAGTGGCTTTTCTTGTGGCATTCAGCAGCTTGTTTTCCAAGTGAAGATTTGCTTTAAAATAATTATTCATACAACATAATCTGGAGTAGCAAATCCTATCTGGCCATTTCCAAACTCCTTGAAAATAAATCTTTAAAAGAGAAATACAAGGATAGGAATTAAGGGATGGCAAAGCCACATCTCTCCCTCCAATTTTTAAGAAACACCCATTTCCAAGGAGCCTTTGCAATCGGCACACTGCCTTTTACACAGTGCCATTCACTCTTAATTCCTAGAATCTCTTCCTTTCGACTTCTAAACTTAAAAGAAAACTGTATTTCTTTGTCAAAATTAACTTTTTTTGGTCTAGAAAGCACTAGAAGAGCCATTAGTTAAAATGCCTCCCGTAGGACACAGTTTAAATGACAAGGCAGAGTATTCTTTACTACTTCTTAGTGAGAGCAGGCAATGAGAGCAGAGTTAGCAAATGATGGAGTTGAGGCAGAGATTATTTTGTTATCAGTTTGCTCAGTTTTGGTTTGTTTTGCTTTAAAAACATGCATATATAAGGTCTGTTTTATCATTTAGTATTTTAAGATTTTTTTTGGTAATTATTAAAAGCCTACTAAATCCCAAACAACTGTAGATGACCCTGAAAGGAAAGATAGTGCATACCAGAAATTAGGTAAATTGTTGAGCTGTGTGACATATGAGGGCAAGATTACCTGGCAATGTCTGGGTGTGGATCCACCAGGGTGCTGACAAATCGGAAGAACAGACAGCCCTTCCATTTCACATATTCTTCCTGTACAAGGATAAAAATAGCACACTTCAGGAAGAATTTTAATATGCAGAGTCATTTGCTGACTTTCCTTAATGTAACATTCCACCTGTTGGCTACTGATCCACCTGGGACCCAAGTTTACATACATAGTGTTTACTTCCTAACCTTGAACTAAGCACGTAGCATTTGTTAGCTAAAAGAGATGTAGAGGAGTATTTGGGCAACAATCTATGGTATAAGGAAACTTGGCTTTAATGGGCAGATCCACAGGTTCCTTTGTAAGGTCCATAATGCATGAGAAGACAAGCTTATGAATGTATAGAAAAGATATATAACTTAGTGAATGCCTTCTTTTTAAATAACCAATTATTCCCTTCTCGTTACAGGCTAACTGCAAGCTCTAAATGTACACACAAATATCAAACGCTCTACACAGCCCTGCAGCTCAAGATGTTTTACAAACTGGAAACAGTTTACTGGATTCTACAGCAATGCTGTGAGACAGTGCATTCCAGGGCCAGGTGGTGATGGCACACACCTTTAATCCCAGCACTTGGGAGGCAGAGGCAGAGGCAAGCGGATCTCTGTGAGTTCAAGGCCAGCCTAGTCTATAGAGCGAGTTCCAGGACAATCTCCAAAGCCACAGAAAAACACTGTCTCCAAAAACAAACAAACAAAACAAGAGTGCATTTCAAATACAATCTACATTTTAAAACAATAGCCCTTATGGCTGAAACACATGGACGTGGCCAAGAAGGGCAGTGGGACTTGAACTGGAGCCTCCTGTCCCTAAGCACTTCCCTCTGCAGGTCACAGATACAGAATTACACTGCTCCACAGGATGTCTGCACAAATATGCCACTGAGCACTAAACACTGTAAGATATTCTAAACCAGAGATGAGAATGGTTGTCTTTGATTCTATGGCAGAGCAAGCATATCTTTGTTAACGGACTATTCCCTACACCAGCACGGCAAGCAGCAAAGGGCAGTTGGATCCCTACACACACCTGTAAGAGGTTGGTAAGCAAGATCAATGTCTGCTTCCGGATAAATGGGTCTGAGTCCTTCAGACAAATGGAAATATTGGGAATATAATTGTCCACCATGACAGTGTATCGGATACAAAGATCACACATCACAATGATGACATTGTTGCGGACAGCCACATCCTCACACACTTCAAGTTCTCGCACAAGGGCTGGGATGCTTTTCTTTGCAAGGTCTTCATGCTGTAAGCACAGTTTACCTGTCACAGAGAAGAGGAAATTGTCTACATTCCACACTATGGGTTACACAGAGTAAATATATGCCCCAAGCCACAAACGACGAACTCACAGACAAATATTAGAAAGTTTAAAAACAGCGTTAAAAAAAAAATAAACGCCACAAGTTTCTTGAGACACGTGATTGTTCCCCTGGAATAATAAAATCGTCTTCCACTTAAAGCCACTCTTTGAATTGTACAGTTACCTACTTGTCCACATAATGACCAGTAAAACCTAACACATTCCAGTTTTGATTATATACATGTTCTAAGAAAAACATTACTGAATTAAAAATGCAAGCTGTATAGCAGGAAAGAATGTTGCCTCACTTATTTTTTATTCATAATTAGAAGGAGGCTGCTGAATTACATTTTCTACTGTGTTTGCTTTGTGGCCTGGGGAATGTTTTGCCCTTACTTGAAATTCTTGGGTATTTTAAAAATAATATCACAAGAACAAAAACAAAAAAAACCCAAACCAAACCACAGCAACAACAAAAACCACCATTTCAAACTATACTATAAGATATACAATCACTTTTAAAAATAGAATATTCCAATTATAGCCAGAGGTCAGTGTTTTCATGATGAACTAATGGAGTGGGTGGAGACATGTGATCAAAGCTCATCTGTCAGTTCTGGAAATTTAAATAAACCGTCTCGCTCAATAAACTGAACTTCAAACTTTCCACTCCTAAAACCCAGTGTAATATCTAAGATACAGTTCTCTGTTTGGGGGGTGCATGCAGGCTCGTGTATACACAAGTATTGGCAGAGGCCAGAAGACAACCTTGACTGTTCTCAGGCATCATCTATCTTTCACTTGAGAAGGGGCTTCTCATTGGCCTGGAGTTTGCCAAGCAGGCTAGGCTGGTGGCCAGGGAGCACCAAGGACCTGCCTGTCCCTGCATCCTTACAGTACATGAATTTATAGGCATGTACCAGTGGACTTGGCTTCCTTAATTATTTATTTTAATGTATTTTAGGTGCATGGGTATCTTGCCTGCATGCATGCCACTTGCGTGCCTGGTGTCTGCAGAGGCCAAAAGAGGGCATCAGATCTCCTAGAACAGGAGTTACTGGCAGTTGTAAGCGGTGGGTGCTAGGAATCAAATCTGGGTCCTCTGGAAAAGCACCGGTGTTCTTAACTACTGAGCCACCTTTCCAGCCCTCTGGCATTTTTAAAATGTAGCTTCTGGGGATTACAATTAGGTCTTTGTGCTTCTTAGCACTTTAGAAACTGAGCTATTTCTTAGCCTCTGAAATACACTTCTTGATAGACTTCCCAAGCTACACTGTGAATATTAAAACAAAACAAAAACACTATAAGAACAGATACAGGTATAACTGTAATTAATTACCACTATCCAACAACAACAAAAAAAACCTCCCTGTGTATTATAATGGTTTCTATGTAACCATTAGGCTCATGTGACCAAACACTTGGTTCCCAGTTGATGACACTGTTTTGTGAGGTTAGGTTAGAGGCAGGAGGCATGGGTCATTGGTAGAGGGATTTTGAGCATGGCTTCTGTCTGTCTACTGCCTCGCAATGCCAAGCCAGTGTTACCATGCTTTCTTTCACTCTGTAAAATGGATGGGCACCCTCTAAAGCATGCACTAAAGTAACCGTCTGTGCCTTGAAGTTGCCTCTTTCAGGGATTTCATCACTACAAGGAGAGAAGTTATTACCATACAGAGTGGCAGTCTCAAGGGCTCTCACTTTGAGTGCCCTGTTACATCTGCAGAGCTGGTTTCTCACATCAGAATTAACTCAAAGTCATAAAAGCTAGAGTAGGCATAGACTCAATAGCACATAGCACGTAACTGTAGTTAAAATTATTTGAGACAAAAGCTACACAGACTACAGCCACATTTCCCCCATGGTACTCATACCTAAAGTGATGATGGCATGTGCTCTAATCACAGAAGGCATAGTAGAGCTTCTGACCTGGAAAGGCAGCTGATTGGCTAGGGCATCCATGGTCCCTTGAGATGATGGTACTGTGGGAAAGGAAGAGGAAAGGAATTATTACTGAGACAGTAAAGAGCCTCAAGACAGAATGGTGCAGAGTGTGACTTCAAAGGCCTTACAGTGATCCACATGAGAAGAAGCAGCCAGAACAGACTGGATTAGAAGGAAGATTCGCTTCTCTACTATGGCTGGACATAACTGGGCTATATCTCCTATGGTAAAAATACATTTCACCTGCAAAGAGAATTGATTTTGCAATAAAACCAAGGCAAAAAGAACATAAATTCTAGCTCGAGTAACACATAAAAAGAATGTTATTTTGTCTAACAAATTACAAAACGATCACTACTTTTTCAGAAAATATGCATGGCTATCAATAAAAATTTGGTTGCTACTTAATAAAAAATTCATTCCAAATTAGAATGACCATATCATTTTATCATGTAAATCCAGACATTTCTGTGAATAATTGGGGTTCTATTAATAATCATGTTGTGATAGAAGGTGTCACCCCTTTATATTAATATATACAACAAGTGTTTAAAGAATATAAGGATTCCATGTGAAAGCTACGGGTTTCATGATAATTTTGCTAAGGTTTCTATGTTAGAGGCTATTTTTTTCTTTTTGGTTTTTAAGAAACAGGGTTTCTCTATAGCTTTGGAGCCTGTCCTGGAGCTCCCTCTGTAGACCATGCTGGCCTTGAACTCACAGAGATCTGCCTGCCTCTGCCTCCGAAGCGCTGCCATTAAAGGCGTGTGTTGCCAGGTGTCACCATGCCTGGTGTGGGTGTTTATTCTTACAATTGCCTGGTGAATACCTCTGTGAACCCTGCTACTCCATTTTCCTAGCAGTGAAACCAAGACTGAAAGAGCACATAAAGGGCCGGGAGTCTAGCTTAATGGTAGAAATCACGGGCCCTGTATGCTCAAGGGCCTGTGTTTGATCCCTAGCATTTCAAACAAAATTTGAGCATGTAAACTCACTCTATATTGTAAAACATAACCCCAATTTGTCCTCCATGTTAGTTTACTGTTTAAACTCCTGCTCGGAACACACACAAGTTCCTACTTCCTCATAGCCAGCTACCACTCTTCCTGTTTTCTAGTGACATCCCATTTGAATAAATAATATTGTTTTTCTTTACCCCAAAGATGAACGGGCATTATTAGAAAGTCAAATGTCAGGTGGGAGCTTACTTTAGAGCTTGACACAGTTGTGCATGCATACCTACAACTGAACCTCCTGGGAAGGGAGGTTCCCTTGGGCCCATAAATTTAAGGTCAGCCTGAGCAATATAGCAAGATCTTGATTCAAATAAAACAAAAATAACTCCTTAGCCTTGCGGTAAAAAAGTCAACAGCACATATATTTGAGTAAAAAAAAAATAATAATAATCTTGAACATAAAGTGCGGTATTTTGCTCCTTGCTGTGGTTTTGTTTTTGTTTTTTGTAATATTGGTGTGGGTCTTGATGGATATTTGATACGATCCAAGTCCTCTGAAATCTACTGATAGCATCAGAGTCCCACAGTGCTAATGCTCACCACTGAATGTGCACACACGGAGCTGCTGGCAGGGTGGCCTCCCCTTGCAAAGCTAACCCTGGTCTATAATCACTAACTACAAGAGAGAAGCTGGCAGAGCAGAAACTGAACGAACACAGAAGAGGAGGTGCTCTACTCATTTAAACAGAGGAGACAACCAGCCACTTTTGTCCATGATCCATCCTAAAGGGCATCAGAACCATGGTTTATTTCCTCTATCAGACAATGTCATATACCAGAATCAGAATCACTGTTAACAGACATGCTAACTGCCTTATGGGTCCTGATTCATAAGGGCTCTTATACTGACACTATTTTTAGAGTAGGAGTGTCCATCAAGATAACTGGCTCAGCAATGGGCATCTGTGTCCTGGGCGGTCAAATATCCCCTTTTAGTTTACACATTATGAATGCAGCTCACAAACGCCTGTGTGACTCCAGCTACATAGCATCTAATATCTGGTTTCCACAAGTATCTGCATTCACCTGCATGGACCCCTCTCCCCCAACCAGCACACATTAACAACCATAAACATAATGCAACCCCCCCCCCCCAAAGTAAGCAATAAAAGCCTTTTTTTTCTGCCAACAGCAGCTGAAACTCACATTCAACAATTGCCCTTGAAGACACCCTGCTGTAAAAAGATTAAGAAAAAGCAGCTGCTTACCACCAGGTCTTCGTTCATGTTCCCTGCCCCATCTTCCTTCAGAAGGACGTTAGAGAGGTAGTGCTCGCAGGTGGAGAGCACATCCCCACACACCTGCTTCAGCAGCTCCTGCACGAGTCATTAAGTTAGAATTGAAGGGTCTCTCATGGCTCAGGCAACTCACCAAGCCCAGCTCTCGGAACCTCCAGGCTCTCGGAAGGCATGCAAGACCCCACCCACCACATTCAAGACTTTCACCTTTCCCATCACTTGTCCCACTCCACAGCGACACTTTCAGCAGCCTGGCCACAGGAAGTGGCTAAGTCAAATGTTGAAAGAATATTGTGTGTATCATCTTTCCTTCCACATTTGCTCTAGAAGAGCAAAAGACAAACAGAAAATCTAGTTCTCAAGTTTATAAATCACCTTTTACAGCAGTACCCCTCCAGCAGTAGAGGAAAAGTGATAATTCTACCACACACATACACACAGGTAGAGAATTAACTATTATGGCTAACACTTTACTTTTAAAAGACATAAAATAAGGACTGATGTTGGATTAGGTATTATAGTCCTAGCACTTGGGAGGTAGAGGCGGGAAGATCCTGAGTTCCAGTTTGGTCTAGGCAAACAGAGAGCTCCAGGCTACTGTGGCTACATAGCTAGACACTGTCTTAAAAAAAAAAAAAAAAAATCATGGATCTGGAGAGATGGCTCATCAATTAACAGAGCTTGATCCATAGTAATGAGAACTTGATGACAGCTAATGTCAGCAAGCCAGGCATCCCCACAAATGCCTGTTCTAAAAGGGGTGGAGACAAAAGGATCATTGGGGCTTGCTGGCTTCCAGACTAGCTGAGGTTAATCCCCAGGTTCAGGGGCGAGACCCTGTCCCAAAATGAATAGGTATACAGTGATAGAAGACAACCAACATCCTCTTCTGGCCCCTGTGCACGTGCAGATAGACCAAGTCATAGATACAGACAGACACAGACAGACACAGACACACAGACACACAGACACACAGACACACAGACACACACACACACACACACACACACACACACACACACACACACACGGCAGTTGTTAACTCTACTGTAATATATAAGGTATAAGTTTTCAGTGTGTCTTACTGATTACAGAAAAGTTCCAGGGGGTCACTGCTACTCACAACATATAACCACCCTTCTGTGCCCAAGAGCATTCTCAAAACCCAGAATTCTTGAACTTCACTGGCCATTCCAAAATACCTAGGTATAGTTAAGTGTTTCCACAGAAGTGAACATTAGGACATAGCGTTCTAATTCAGGGATAACTACTACAATGACATTATCTGTCACATGTATGTCAGGTGCTTTCAAAGACTATCTTAGGACTCACCCAGTGCACGTGGCACTAGAGCAATGTGGTGTCACATTAGCATTTGCCAAACAGTAGGAAATCACTACCACAAGAAATTATGTCTTAGCCTAGCAATTTTCAAAACAACTCTGTTTATTACTTAAAAAAAAAAAAAAAAAAGACAGTTTCTCTGTGTAGCCTTGACTGTCCTGGAACTCACTCTGTGGACCAGGCTGGTCTTGAACTCAGAGATCCACCTGCCTCTGCCATCCTAGCACTAGGAGTAAAGATGTGAGCCACCCATGACTTTTAATAGATTATACAACCTAATCACCACTTGTTGGCCAAGAGAGCTCCTGAAAGCAACAGGCCTTAGTCCTGAGGAAGAGAGAAAGGCTGACTTATGTAACAGTTTAAGACAAGGACCTGGTTGAGCTGAAGTTTGCCTGGGAAAGCTGTCAAGACCAAATAATAATGTCCAGTTTCAGCACAGCTTCTTGTGAGCACCTCCAAGACTAGGGACAAGCTCCTCATTTTAAGCATCCTTCATTAAGTTTTCTTCATTAAGTTGGCTGGTATCTGCTCCCTTACAATTTCCAAACACTTGTATAGATTGGGTACACCAAATAAATTCAATTCTTTTATGTCCAAATCTTCATATATCTAAATTTAGCTAGGCAGCCTGTCTTACATTGCTTCTTACATGCTACACAACTTGCTTCACAATCCCCTCATCTAAATATCCTCCACATGAAGTCCATTTGTCAACATGTTTCTAAAACAGTGTCACTGAAATTGAGTTACCAAAAATGGCTAGGACCTTAAGTTTAGCTAGGACAAAGAGCAGGAACCCCCCCCCCCCCTTTTGTCTTTTTTTCCCGAGACAGGGTTTCTCTGTATTGCTTTGGAGGCTGTCCTGGAACTCGCTCAGTAGACCAGAGATCATAGAGATCCGCCTGCCTCTGCCAGCCCCTCTTATTCTAAACACTTCCCCATTAATACAGTCTAAGTTCTAATTGATGACATCCACAGAAGACCCACTCTTACCAAGCTTACAGATATCAAAGACAGAACTGTATTTACATGGACTTAAATACCCTAAGATGCCAGAATAATCTCAAAGTCTTATTCTACTGTTGACCACCAAGAGAGATACTGGCAGAAAAAAGATGGGGCCATTTTCCTACAGAAGGAAACAGGCAAAAAGCACCTTGGCCTGAGTACTGCCATTTTGACTTCAGACTCCATTTTCTCTGTAGGGCGAAACAAATTTCAAGATCCCAAGCCCTAGGGGAGCTGAAAACTTTCCAATGGCTGACCATCTCCTCCTTTAAACATAGAAATAGCCTGTTATGCTTCTTAGTTCTTTAAAACTGATTGGTTGGACTAAAAAGCTCCCATTTTGTGTCAGCTGACAATGATGGAACACACAAGGAAAGTCCCTAATATTTGAGTCCTGATTGGTGAAAACTGTAACATGGCAAAAAAATGTTTGTGACTTGTGCTTATAAACCCTGAATCTGGGGCCAGGTGTTGGTGGCACATGCCTTTGATCCCAGCACTTGGGAGGCAGAGGCAGGCGGATCTCTGTGAGTTCAAGGCCAGCCTGGTCTCCAGAGCAAGTGCCAGGATAGTCTCCAAAGCTACACAGAGAAACCCTGTCTCGAAAAACCAAATAAACCAAACCAAACCAAACAAACAAACAAAAACCCCCGAGTCTGCCCCTCCTTGGGGCTACTAGGACAAACAAGGCTCCCAAGTCCTTGTCCCGTAGCCCTGATCGATCAGTGACCCATTTATATGGTGATTTAATAAAACCTTTGGAACTCATAGTTCTTGTGCTCTTTTTTTTTTTTTTCTCTCTCTCTCTCTCTCTCTCTCTCTCTCTCTCTCTCTCTCTCTCTCTCTCTCTCTCTCTCTCTCTCTCCTTCCTTGTGATGGGTGTAACACTACTACAATAAAGTTCTCTTTTAGCTGTTTCTTACCCAGGCTCTAATAACAATGTAACCAAACAGCTTGATGACCAAGGCATTCGCAAGAAGAACCCACAGCAAAGATGACTTTTTCTAGCTTGTCTGGAAGGAACAGAGACCTTCCCTTCTAGTTCCAGTTCTGCTATCAATAGGGTGTGTGCCACTGATCCTTAAAACCTGTCACCAATTTCCCCAAGATCTTAGGCCAAACACAGCACCAACTATATTCTTGTTTACTGTTTGATACTATTCAGAGACCTCCCTTCTAGTTCCAGTTCTGCTATCAATAGGGTGTGTGCCACTGATCCTTAAAGCCTGCCACCAATTTCCCCAAGATCTTAGGCCAAACACAGCGTCAGCTATATTCTTTCTTACTGTTTGATACTATTCAGCTCTGCTCCAAGAAATCTGATGGCTTCCATGGGTACACTCACTCACTCACTCACTCACTCACAATGATGCATATACAGGAAAATGTAAAATTAAAAAACCAAAAATGAGTGTATCTCATGATAAAAGCAGAAGATAGTGATAAAATGATTTACTAGAAATACTGATAAGGGGGCTGGAGAGATGGTTCAGCAGACCTCGGTTCAACTCCTAGCACCCATACGGTGTCTTGCAACTGTCTGTGGCTCCTGTTCTTGGGGATATGAAACCCTTACACAGACAAACATGCAGACAAAACACCAATGTACATAAAATAAAAATAAATAAAATGAGCCCACTGTGATGGATGAAGTGTATACTGGAACCTACATGCAACTTTTCCACCCAGGACACCTGATCACTGGGAAGGATGATGCAGCCAATAATTATGCCAGAGGTTATTATACAATTGGCAAGGAGATTGTTGATCTGGTCCTTGACCAGATCTGAAAACTGGCACATCTGTGCACAGCACCTCAGGGCTTCCTCATCTTTGACAGCTTTGGAGATAGCACAGGATCTGGGTTTGTTTCTCTGCTTGTAGAATGGCTTTCAGTGGACTATGGCAAGAAGTCTAAGCTGGAATTTGCCATTTACCCAGCCCCCCAGGTTTCCACAGCTGTTGTGGGGTCCTGCAACTCCATCCTAACCACATACATGATACTGGAACATTCTGACTGTGATTTCATGGTGGATAATGAAACCATCTATGACATCTGTTGGCACAACCTGGATTTTAAAAGTCCCACATATACCAACCTCAATCATCTGATTGGGCAGATTGTGTCATCCATCACAGCCTCCTTGAGGTTTGATGGGGCCCTGAATGTGGACTTAACAGAATTCAAGACCAACCTGGTACTATACTCTCACATCCACTTCACAACGGGAAATCTATGCTCCAGTCATCTCAACTGAACAGCATACCATGAGCAGCTCTTGGTAGCAGAAATCACCAATGCTCGATCTGAGCCAGCAATCAGATGGTTCAAGTGCGACCCTCACCATGGCAAATATATGGCTTGCTGCATGTTGTACAAGGAGGATGTGGTACCAAAAGATGTTAATGCGGCTACTGCTAACATCAAGACTAAGTGCACCATCCAATTTGTGGATTGGTGCCCAACTGGATTTAAGGTGGGTATTAACTACCATACCCCCATGGTCCCTGGGGAGACCTAGCCAAGTCACAGAGAGCAGTGTGCATGCTGAGCAACACTGCCATTGTAGAGGCTTGGGCTCGCCTGGACCACAAGTTTGACCTCATGTACCCGATGCAGGGGTTTTTGCATTGGTATGTGGGGGTAGATGTGGAAGAAGGCCCAGGAGGACCTGGCAGTGCTGGAGAAGGATTATGAAGAGGTGGGCATAGATCCTATGGAAGCAGAGGCTGAAGAAGGGGAGGAATACCGAGGATATGGGTCTGGCTGGCAGCCATCCATTTGTATCTTCCTCACCATTGAAACTAAAGGATATATTTACTCATTAAAATTTTCTATGTTGAGACAATTAAAATAAAAACAGATTCTTCTAAAAAAAAAAAAAAAAAAAAAAAAAAAAAAAAAATTTTAAAAAAAAAAAAAAAAAAAAAAAAAAAAAGAAATACTGATATGGACGGTGAGATGGTAAGATGGCTCAGCAAGCAGAGGCCCCGGCTGTCAAGCTTGACAATCTGAATTCTATCCCTGGACCTCCTGGACCCACCTGATGGAAGGACAGAACTGACTCTTGTAAGTTGTCTTCTGACCTTCGCACATTTGCTATCATAGTCACATTATGTACATAAAACTTAAAAAAATATAGTAACATGAGAATTTTCCAGCAGTGGTCAAAGTAACTGTCTTACATAAAGCATGCATTTGGATTTGGGACTATTTACTCATATAAAAATTACTAGAATAGATAAAATATTTATAAAAAAAAAACCAGTTGGCTAGGCAATTTTGGAGACACTTAAGTGACATAACAGCACAGGCATCCGCAGGAATAGGATATAGCAAAAGATCAAACACCATCTGCTGTGTGGAACTCTACAATTAGGTAAAAGATGATGTCTTAAATGTTCTTAGAATGTTCAGACTATCACTTACTAAAAGGTAATACTGCAGAATTGTCACCAGAAAGAGAAATATCAATCAGGAGGCACACATCACTAAAAAACACTTATACATGGAGCCAGAGTAGGGACAGTTATCTAAGGGAGCCATGTCTTCAGCAGTCAACTCTTAAGGAGAGCCCGAAGCTGGACACACAGGTACTGATGTTCAGTAAAAGCTACTGGGGACCATACATCCTCCCATGTCCTCTATTCACAGAAAACACTTCTCAGACTTCAAATGGAGTAGCACGTTGAAAACAGATGAAGAGTGTGCAGTCATACCTGTTCTTCCAGCAATGTCTTTGCAGATGCTCTACAAAGCCCTTGCAAAGTGTCAACAGATGAACTGATCAACTCTAGAGACCACTGAAATCTATTCAGCTTGCCCTTCACAACACCTAAGAAAAATGAAAAGCTTGAAATTCAACTGCTTCAAAATATACAGAACTATAAAAAGAAAGAAAGAAGAAAAGAAAAAAAGGCTGCAGTAAACAGCAAGTCCTCAAGACTCCATTAGACTTACCAATTATTTTGTCCTGGGTGCTCCTGGGAAGGTGTTTTGCAATATGCCCAATGACACATAGCATGTAGCCTAAGGTGTTTGAATTTGGAGATTTTTCACTAGAGAAAAGGAGAAAATACCAAATTAAACAGCATGCTGCCAAAACACAACAACCACCACAACCACCCATTTCTTCTGGATTATTAATACTAAAAGTCAAGCAGTTGACCTGGCTTAACTGTGAGGTCTGGAAACATTAAGGTGCCTAATAAACTTTAACAAAGGCAAACTGCTTAAATACGATTATTTTTTAAGTTGTTCTTAAGCCAGAATTAAAGCAATAGCTATAAAGTAAGCCATTTCCTGAGGACACGAGTTTTACTTCCAGCCAATTGGTGTCTGCTAGTGGCTACTTTATAAACATACAAACCTGCTGAGTTTCTCCCATGACTCTATTATTTTGGTGTAGTCCAGCTTGGGTGATGAGCAAGTGATCTTGGAGAGCAGCATCCATGCTGGTGCTGAATGTTCTGTGTCAGTGTGGGATATCACACTGTTTATAAAAGTGGATGAGAATTTATCTTTCTTGGACCAGATACGAAAAGCCTTATTTAAATAGCGGCTGGGGGGGGGAAAAAAAGGAGAAATGCAACTATAAATATACCAAAGTGTTCCGACCAACCTCTCACTGAAAAGGTATCAACTTCTATAGCACCAGGATTTTTCTGGCACATAAAACATTCACTCAGGGAGTCCAGCTCTCTGCAAATCTAATATCAATCAAGGTGTCTTCTTAATTTTCCCTTCAGAGTAAGTTGTCCTTATCCCCCCCCCTCACAAAACACTATGTACAATAAAGAAGAAAATTACAAAAACTGCCTCTTCCAAAATTTCCACACATAATAGCTTACTATAACAGGTATGTCCACGTTGATAGGAACAAAGTAACAGAAGAATAAATACTCCGTCCTTTATTTAATGAGACACTGGAGAACATCATAACATTTAAATATGGCATAGCAAATAAGCTGAAATTTGCTATACCTTAGCAATACAAAGTGTACAAGTATCCATGTTACCATTTTTGTGTGTCATATGGTAGGTCCATGTTCTTCAGGTTGGTGTTGACTGTCCTCCTCAATCACTCTCCACCTTATTTTTTGAGTCAGGGCTCTCACTGAACCTGGAACTCACTGTTCAACTACACAAGCTGGCTAGCAAACCTCAATGATCCTTCTGACTGCCTTCCCAGTGCTGGCATTATGGTCAGGTATCACCACATCCCCCCCCCCTTTTTTTTTTTTTTTTTTTTTTTTTTTTAATGGGGAATAGGTCCTAGGGATCCAAAATTCAGGTCTCTAAACTTGTGGGGCAAGCACATTACCAACGGATGGACTCCCTGCCCAGTGCTCTTCACTGATGCTTTTAAATCACTATTGTTTTAAATCACTATATGCCTCATGAGACAATGCTATAATTTGAAGGAGGACAAAAACAGAGCTCTTGGGGCTGGAGGGATGGCACTGCAAGACACTAGATTTTGGTCTCTTGCCAAAAGAAAGGATGAAGGGAAAGGGCGGAGGGAGGGAATTAGGAAGAGAAGAAATAATCACAAAATGTGATTATATCCTTTATTTGTGTTCTTGTAACACACTTCCTACCAAGACTGACTTTGCTCTGTGAAATCTCCACCAGATTATGAGCAACCTAAACACAGTGAGGTGTTAAGTCCTGCAACTTTCCAGCACTGAGAGCAGGGCACTGAAAATATTTGTTAACTGAACACACTAGACTTCCTCTTCCATGTCCTTCTACTCTCCATCCCCAACACTTGTTAAGCAGCTCTGAGACACCTCCTTCCTCCAGCCCCACTGCCCCCACCTTCTTCTGCCCTTGTTACCCATGACTTAAATCACTTTACACAGGCCTGTGTTCTCAATCTCCAGTTTGATCCCCTTGGTCTCCAAACAGAAATTCATTCTCTACAGGTCCTAAAGTGTAAACTCCTGTTCTCACACTTTATATAAGTTCATCAGCAGCTTCCTCCTTGCTATTCTGCTTTTAGCATAAGGTTAAGCTTCTTGGCATGTTGTATTATAAGGCTCCTGTTTAAAAGGGTCCCAGTCACACTAGCCATCAATGTACTGGGGTGCTAGTGCAGTATACACAGCCTTAGGCATCCAGGGCTGGTTCCTCTCCTGGCTGTCATTTTGTTCGTTACTAGCTTTCAAGAGTCAGTTTGGGGAGCTGGAGCTGGCCCATCGGATAATAATCCACATGGCTCTTGCAGAGGATGAGATTCTGGTTCCCAGCAGCCAGGTTGGGTAGCTTACCATCAACTATAACTCCAGCGTGCCCCCTTCTAGCTTCTGTGGGCACCTGCACTCAACTGCACATATCCCAGAAAGATACACAGACACACAGACAATTTAAAAATTAAAGGTCAGGTATCCTATAAAGCACTTACTCTCTGTTGATTAAAGATCTTAATATAAATCTTGTATATTACTGTTTATAAAGTTATTTATCCCATCAACCCCACTGTTCCTCATAGTGCTTTTTGGGGGTGTGTATGTATGCATGTATCAGTGTGGGTGTGCATGTCTGTGGGTGGGTGTACCCAGAGCACATGCAAACACAGAATTCGTATGGACATCAGGGGTGATTTCCAATACTATGTGATTTGTTTTGTTTTGATTGATGTATTGCCAATGCCTATGTTTGTGTGTGCACCTGTGGGGGCGTGTACGTGTAGGCCACAGGTCTATGTCGAGAGTCTTCTTCCACTTCATTTATTTAAAACAGGGTCGCTTACTAAGGCTGGAGTTCATCAGTCTGGCTTTAGTACTTACTATCTGGCTAACAAGCTGGAATTCTCCTGTCTCTGCCTCCCTCAGGGCTGGGATTACCATGCCTAGCCTTTTATGTGTATGCTATGGATCCAATTCAAGGCCAGAATCCCTAGCAAGCCCTTTACCATTGAGCCATCTCTTCAGCTCCATCCACCTTTCCTTCACTGAGTCTGGGGTTCACTGAGCAGCCAGGCTTACCAGCCAATGAGCTCCAAGGCTCCAGCTGTGTCTCCTTCCTCTATCCCCAGCATTAGTAGTCATCTGCTGCTGTGGGGGTTCAAACTCACATGCTTGTACTTGTGAAACAGGGACACCACTCGGCAAGCCCTCCCCAGGCCCACTAACAGTACTTTTGACTTTTCTCACTGATTCTCCAGATCAGTGGCTGTCATATCCTTTTCACTGTAAGACTTCTTTAAATTTACTCACTTACTCATTCATGTACATGCATTTTTAGTGGTGCTGGGTCTTGTATATACTAGGGAAGTACTCCTACCACTGAGCTATACTCTATGTAGAAATCCCTTTAAATTCTTTAAAATTAGTGATCACTCCCAAAGAACTTTTGCATATGTAGGATAGATGGATGGACACACACACACACACACACACACACACACACACACACACACCATGTTAGGAATTTAAATGTTTCCTAGTTAAAAATTAACAATAAGAAGGACCTGAAGGACCTGGTAGTACAAGCTTGTAACCCTACTTACTCAGAAGGCTGAGACAGGAGGATTGCACATTCAAGGACAACCTGGGCTACAGAATGAGCTCGGGCAACTTAGCAAGATCCCATCTCAAAATAAAAAAGCAAAACGGAAGGCTGAGGACACAGCTAAGTGACAAAGCACTTGTCTAGCATATATGAAGCCATCTAGTACACTTCAATCCCTATTGCTGAAAACAAAAAACCAAAAGCAACAAAAAACTAGAACCAACAAACCCATTTATATCAGTATAAGAAATAGTACTCTTCACAAAAACAACTCTTCCCAAACAATATAAATGGGGCGAGTCACTGTTGTATCGTTTTGTAAACCTATTAAGTCTGGCTCAGACAGAAATGGGGTTTCTTGTATCTGCTGTTGTGTGTAAACTGTTCCGGCATCGTCATATTGCTTCTGGAACTTCCGTTCCATAATCATGAAAGGATAAAGTAAAAATGCCAAGAAACCTCTTAATGCTATAATTGAAAGCTCTACTAGTGCCCTAGCCCATGTCTTTACACAGTTCCATGTGACATTCTTCCTCCCTTTGGGATAATGTTGATGGCTAATTTATTAGGGAAAGAAAGAACAGAAAGCTCCAGCATTCATCTATCACCTCCCTCCCCGATATAAAGTATAGCTATTCATGTAACTTTCCCCCAGGTTTCTTCATTACATATTTCTCATCTTTCATTCACCCTCAGGTGTCACCTGCCTTGTACCTCTGACCTCTATAAACCTATATTCAGATAGGTTTCCTCTATCTCAGCATGAGAACAATGCTTATAGAGGATGCTTGTGATGCTAAAGAAGCAGAAGGTAAGCCTCAATTTCAGATACAAACATGCCTCCCAGACTTAGGAATGCAGTAACTCAGGCCAGGTGCCATGGTTAGTCTTGGGTATCAATTTGACTACACCTGGAGTTACCTAAAACCCAAATGGCTGGGCACACTGTGATGGATTTTCTTAACTGAATCATTTGAAGTGGGAAGATCCACCTTTAATGCAGATCTGTTAAATTGGGACGATCCACCTTCATTTAATCTGGGCCACACCTTCTGCTGGCAGTCCTCGTAAGGTCATGGAAGAAGGAGGATTGCTCTCTATGACTTTTGCTCTAGCTTTCACTATTGAGCCCATTTCATTTGCTGGAATCAGAGCCTACTTTTTTGGGATCCTGGTGTATACTGAGGACCAGCTGAGACACCCAGTGTGCTGGCTGGCATTATGTCAACTTGACACAAGCTAAAGTTATCTGAAAGAGGGAACCTCAATTGAAAATAATGCCTCTGTAAGATCAAACTATTAGGCATTTTCTTAATTAGTGATTGATGGGGGAAAGGCCCAGCCCATTGTGGGTGGTGCTATCCTTGGGTTCTATAAGAGAGCAAGCAGGCTGAACAAGCCATGGGGAATAGCCAGTAAGCAGCACCCCTTCATGGCCTTTGCATCAGCTCCTGCCTCACTGCTTTTGATGATGAACTGTAATAACATGGAACTGTGAGTGAAATAAAGCCTCTCCTCCCCAAGTTACTTTGGTTATGGTGTCTTATCACAGTAATAGTAACCCTAAGACAATCCAGCCTGGTGGATGGAACAACTACTGCATTCTTGGACCTTCTGTTGGTAGACAGCCATTGTGGACCAGCTAGACCACAGCCTGTAAGTTATTCCAATAAATTCCCTGCGTGTGTGTGTGTGTGTGTGTGTGTGTGTGTGTGTGTGTGTGTGTGTGTGTGTGTGTGTTCCTACATATATGGTAAATGTCAGTATTCTGAAAGTTCTTTTACTTTAGGGAACCCTAATATACTGGGGGAACCAAGGAAGACTGTCAGAGATAATAAGTAAAGGAAAAATAAGATCAAACAAAACAGAGTGGGCTAAAAGAACATTTTATAGAGAGAACCTGTCCCCAGAGGTACCTGCATGCAGGACAGATCTTGTGGGGAACAGAGTGGGATTGTCAAGACCCAGAATGCACATGGTGGAAGCATAAGACAAAGATGAAGCAATCAAGTGATAGAGAAGAGGACATTTTCTGATGCTTCCTGAAGAGGTCAAGCATGTAGAAAGGTCAATGGGTGGACTGTAAGCAGACCAGACAGGAGACCCTGCCTGTGTAGGCTGGGATGCCAGAGAGGAAGGGAGGAAAAACCCTTGGGATAAAAACAAGCGTTCCTTTTGCTTGAACTATACATCGCTGGGTTGTCTTCTAAGCATGTTTTGACAATTTATGCACTCCTCAAGCATGCAAAATTGTCACTTTCTCAAATTCTCAGTAACACTTGAGTACAGTATAGACTGTCAAGTCTCACATTTTAACAAACTGAAACTTGTGTTATTTTTAACTTTGTTGACTGTTAGAGAAGTTTAATATCAGATTCAGTATCTCTGTCTATTGCTCATCTCCACCTCAACTTTTGTGAACTGCTTTTCATCTCATCTATTTTCTGTTTGGAGTCCTCTCCTGGATAAGAACCATTAGTAAACACAGGTGACCATTCCTAGTATGTGTTAGTTTCCAATCTGTCCTTCCTATGTTTTTGATGGTGTCATGTTAGTCTGGCTTCTGAGTTGCTACAGCAATACCTGAGCATGTGTAATTGATGAAGAACAGAATCTACTGTTCACCTGAAAATACAGAAGTTTAAGGTGAAGGCTCCAGGCTTAGTGAATGCTGAGGTCATTCTCTGTTCCAAGGTAGTACCTTGTATGCCACATCCTTCATAGAAAGCAAGGGCAGTCACATGGCACAAACTCCCAAAGACGGAGCAAAACAGCCCACTCCTGAAAGCTTTCTTCCTACCAACACTAAATAATTCAAGAGAGTACAGTCCTGGCTGCCTAATCCATTCTTACCAGACCTCACCTCATGATACTTATATTTGCCAGTTGATTTCAATGAGTTTTAAAAGGGAAACCTGAAGCCACAGCAGCTGTTGATAATCATTCTAATGCAGATTCACCTTGCCACTATGGTGCAACTGCTTAGACTCAATGTCGAAAAGAAGATGCAATGGTTTCCCTTTAGAAATGTGTAAAGGGCTGATCTGTGTCCCTCTAAAATCTCTGTGTTAAAGGCCCAACACCTGTAATCTCAGAATGTGATTGCATTTGATGACAGTGTCTATAAAAGAACTGATAAAGTCAAAGGAAGCCACTAGCATGCACCTTAATCAAATGTGACAGGTGTCTTTACAAAGAGATTGGACTCTTACAGATTCCTGAAAAGACTCACTGGAGGCATAGCAAGACAGGGCTGTCGGCAGACCAAGAGGCTCAAGAGAAAGCAAAGCTGCAAGAACTTCTACCTGGGCTCCAGAACTGTGACGAGTTGATTTCTACTATTTAAGCCACTCAGACTGTGCTATTCTGTCGTACTAAAAGTAGAAAATTAACACAAGAGTCTACTTCATTAAACTTTCATATTTAACATTTTTGAAAACAGAAGTTCTAGAGGACTGTACCCCTTTTTATTTCTATTGCTGGGATGAAACTCCATGACCAAAAAGCAAGTTGGGGAGGAAACGGTTGATTTGGTTTACACGGTTGATTTGGTTTACACTTACATATTGTTGTTGATCATCAAAGGAAGTCAGGACAGGAACTCAAACAGGGCGAGAACCTGGAGTCAAGAGCTGATGCAGAGGCCAGGGAGGGGTGCTGCTTACTGGCTTGCTTCCCATGGCTTGCTCAGCCTGCCCTCTTACAGAACCCAGGACCACCAGCTCAGACACAGAACCACCCAGAATAGGCTGGGCCCTCCCCCATCAATGACTAATTAAGAAAATGCTTACAGCTGGATCTTATGGAGACATTTTCTCAATTAAGGTTCCCTCTTTCAAATAACTCTAGTTTGTATCTGGTTGACGTAAACTAGCTGGAACAGTAGTAATATACTCTCCCACTGTGGTAACACATACATTCAGAGAAGGCTGTGACACCTATTCAGTGTGTCTAGGCTGGGTGGCTGGTAGGCTAGGCTGAAGGTGGAGTCTGAGCAACAGCAGCCTCCTTTTTGGCAGTTATTTTTATTCATTTTGAAATCAGATAGCTGTGTGTTTAAAAACATTAAGAAATGGGACTGAAATGGAACTGTAAATACTTCATAACTATAAGCATTTGCACTTGAAAGTAGGCATCTAAAGGGTACTCATATTGTATAAAGCCTTAGAGAATGCATAACATTGGATGCTTAGGAGGAAGCATGTACATTATAACAGGAGAACATGAAATACCAATGAGCTCAATGTTTAGGAAGTTAAAAAGTAACTAGACTTAAGAAAAGTTATATTTGGAGAGGGAGCCTATTGTTTAAAAGTGAGCAACCCCAGGGACCTAAGACTAGGGGATAATTATCTAGAATCACCTATGACGGATTTAGACTAAGGTTAACATCTGAGAATGTCTGTGAGGGATTATCTAGATATGAGAAGTCCCAGCTTACTGTGGACCAGAGCTTTGCCTGAGTGTGGATCCTGACCAGCATCCAAGTAGAGATAGAGCTCTGCACTGACTTTTGCTGCTCTCTGCTACTTTATTGTGGATACAATGTGAACAGCTCCCTCAAGCTTCTGCTGCTGTGACTTAGCCATCTCTGTGGATCATAACATGGAACAGGAAGCCAAGATAAACCCTTTCCTCCTTAAGTCACTTCTTTAGGGTATTTTATCACAGCAACAGAAAGAGAAACTAAGATAGAAACAAGAGTGAGAAAATAGATTCTGCTGCTGAGTGAATCCCTCCTTTAAAGGAACATCAGCAAAAGCATAGGTGGTACTGAGAAAACACTGACAAGATGAATGAATTTTTAGTGATAGTTTCAATACCAGAGAGATGAAAGCAAGTAGCCCATTATCTATTCTCGAAAAGAAAATGAGGAAACTCAGGCCCAAGAAAGAAGCCACAAGGCATAAGTTTGCAGCAACTGGTTACTTTCTATTGTATAATCCCTCCATAACTACATGGAAAAGCCTGTGTTTCTTGTATGAAAAGGAGATGTAAGGAAAAGAAAAAAACAGCCACTATAATCCAGATAAAAACCAAAAACTCACTGCAGTCAAGGTACCATCACAGATCCTACCCCTCAGCATAATGTTCACTACCCTCAATGTTCATCATCCTCAAGTTATCAAATAGAAACAAAAGCACAGAGATATTTATCCCACTAGCTCAATAAAATGTGTAAGGCTTAGCTTTTATGAATGAAAAGGCAGGCAAGGCATGGTGGTATATGCCTTTAATTCCAGTGCATAGGAGGCAGAGTTCGGTGGAGCTTTGAGGATAGCCTGGTCTATAGAGGGAGTTACAGAATACCTGAGGCTACAAAGAGAAACTGTCTAGAAACCAGAAACCAAAACCAAACAAAACTCAAGTAAAGGTGTGGTCCTCCTAACAGCAAGTAGTGGGGAATGTTGATGCTACAATGCCATCCTATGTTTAGTACTACACATAGTGCCAGGTAAAAGTGGAAAGGAGTCGGAAGGGAGCAAAGTGATCAAAGGTACCACTAAAATACTCACCACAATAATGCTAAGAGATTCAAAGAGTATCAAGGATCTTCACATATACTAAGAATCTGGACCACTGATCTTCAGATACCAATGGAAAAATTACTATTAGAACATCCCACGAGGACCAGAAAGATGGCTCAAGTGGTTAATAGCACTGGCTGCTCTCACAGAGGACCCACATTTGGTTCCCAGTACCCACATGATGGCTCAAAAACTCTAGTTTCTAGTTCCAGGGGAACCAATGCCACCTTCTGGCCTCCTCAGTTATACACACCACACACACACACACACATACACACACACACACACACACACTCACACACACACACACACACACACACAGAGAGAGAGAGAGAGAGAGAGAGAGAGAGAGAGAGGGAGGGAGA